TACATGAGTGGTTTACATTGTGTACTTATACAGGGATTTTGATGGAGACAATTGGCATGAGGACATTTTCATCATTTTATCAACTATATATAAATATATACCACATTTGAAAACTATCTGTAGGACATTTTGGATGACAATCAGTCAATGTCCTGGAAATTGAACCGATCAGAAACCCTGCCTTGATGAATGTAAAGAGTAAAGAGTACTTGTGTTTGAAGTGGGACATGTCATTATTGTGTGTGTTGTTTAGATGAGAATACCTCTAGAATTGAGCTTTGAACCAGATCAAGGTGAAACACGGGATAAACTGTAAAATCCAGATAATCCCCACTGCTTAACCTGTCAACAACATGGACATGAAATTACTTATAATATCTTCATGTATTATCAGTACATAAATAGAGTGAAGTTGTTTATATCGAAAGATGCTTTTATGTTATACACATATTTCAGAGCTGAAAGCAGTGTTTGATACCAAGGGTCATTATCAAGGACAGTGACCTTCAAAATAGTACATGTCTCCCACACTTGGTAGGCATGTAGTTATGACAATGAGGTGATATCCTTACAGGGTTAGAAATTAATAATAATGTTACAATTAACCTTTATTTTAACAAGTCAAGACTGCAAAAAGTATCTGGTAATAGTGGTAGTCCACAAAGAAATGTCACCAGTTCTTTCTGAATTTCACTAGAATAGAGTGCATTAGTTAATTTCAACATTGCTGTTTTATAATAAATACAATAGAACATAAAAGTACATAAATATATAGGGACTGGTTATGTACATTCTATCTGATTACAGTCATTGACTGTTGTGATTTCAGAGATCAAGTAAATGGCATTAGGAAATGATCTTATCAACTTTTGAAAGGACATTCTTCTATATCATCATTAAATTATGAAATTTTGAAATCAGGATATTTTGACTGGTAAGTCAGTTTCCTAATAAAGCACATGCAATGACTGAATAATTTCTATGCAAAACTTGACCAGCCCACTTTTGACCGACCTTATATATTCCCAGTTTACGGGACTGCAATTGTCTATTGGCATCATTTAAGTGGATTTTTCTGTTATAATATGGAGAACTATAAACTGAGCTTAGCAGACCAAACAGAATAATACTGGACTTGAAGTTAGAATGTATTCCAACCACATATCTTACTTTCAATGATTAGACCCTGATAGACATCATTCTCAACTCCCTAACGCACATTAATATCCCTGTGTCATGGGTTTTGGGACATTCAAAGGTTTTTTTCTGCTAGTCACATGAACAACTGTAAAGTATCTCACTCAATTATAAAACTTTATCTAAAAACAGGCCATCACCTGAGCATTTACCAATGTTTGTGTGATAGCCACGTGCCATTCTAGCCCACTGTTGTAACCTGCACCCCATCATTTTCAGTAGATCTTAGTGTTAATGTATGAACTTTTATTAGCAAAGCTTACTAGATCGAAAGAAATTTGACTAAACTTGGGCTACGGACTTGTGACTAAGGTCATAGTCTGGGTTTAGGATAGTCTACATGTCGTTTTTGGTGGGGCCGTTCATAAACATGATCACAATTGAGGTCCATTTTGGGGTGAAAACAACCGTGGTGGCTCCGAATTAACCGAAATACTTACAACGTGCGTCTAAATATGATAGGCAAACAAGCTGGTAAATGAAGGAATAGATAATTCAGCAGTCATCTAAAGGAAAAAGTATTCAAAATGGACTTCAAAATGTTGAATATTTGCTGGTTGTCAAAGATGGCCTGTTTTGTTTACAATGCCAGCAAAGACAAATCCAGAGACATTTCGGGAGAAAACAAAATGGATACATGCAAAATAACATCTACAAACCTGTCTGAAATAACAAGAAGGCACTTGAACTCAAATAGGTCGATGAAATCTGTTAAAATAACAACTGTGATAGCAACGATACGCTTCTGTCAACGAAGAATCGTAAGAGCCGGGTCTTGAACTTCGCAACCGTTACCGTAGCAACACCGGAAATAGATTTTTTCAAAAGCTTCTCGTATTTACAAATCGAAATGAGCTTCTACGTCCAGTGGAACGTTATTCAAATCATAATGACAAAATAAAACCCTACATTGCAAAATAAAATATTCTTGCTGGTTCCCAATTCTCTCTGCGCTGCGTCAACTTTGTAACATGTAGAGACGGAGCCTGGCGGAAAGTCAACTCGTTCACACGAAGACCCGTAAACAATCATTCCACTAGCAATATTTGATGTTAGTCGTTTTTGGTTGAACCTGACATGGCGGTGTTTCGATGTCACAATATGACGACTGAAGACAGTATTTGTATTCCCAATAATACAAGAGTCAGTTCCCTGTATAAAAACGTTTTCTTTTTAGTTTAATATTTGAGAAGGTGCCACAAATGTAAAAACGATCGCAAATAAGTGACCAGCCACGCTTGGTTCTGAGCGTGGATTATTTACGCTGAATTATAAGTATAAAGAAACAGGTGAAAACAATATACATATATAATATTGTAGCAGGGCGTGGAGTCATCCCACAGATGACATTCTTACCTTGTCAGCTTGCTGACGGGGTTAACCTCTTTGGTCATGTGGACAAGGCGTCCGACCTCGGATCAGAAGGTCCGTGGTTCGAATCCCATCACGGGACTCGGAAATTTTATGGCCGTTACAATATAAGGACAATTTCTTTGTGGGAATGTTTCGGGAATACAATGGGCTAGCCAATGCCAATAAAACTACATATAATAGATTTTTCGAAAGACCTTGACATACATGATATTACATTGGCCATTACTTCTACACTGACCTCTGTTCAAGGCCAAAGTCACCAGTGGTCCTGTGACCAAACATGATACATCATTCCAGTTGGTGCTGTAAAAAGGCGACTATGCCTGTCGTAAGAGGCGGCTAACGGAATTCGGTAGTTAGACTCGCTGACTTGGTTGGTGCATGTAATCGTATTGAAATTGCGTAGATCGATGCTCATGATGTTAATCCCTGGATTGTCTGGTCCAGACTTGATTATTTACAGACTGCCGTCATGTAGCTGGAATATTGCGGTGTTAAACAACAAACAAACAAACATTACAGTTTACGTTGCATTTGAGTCAATAAATAAAGAGGAATTAATAATACTTTTATAAAATAAAATCTGTCATTCGTTTAACCCGAATCGAATAAAGCCATGCATCATGCCTGTGTATGTTTAGTTTCGTGGAACAGCCAGCAAATACTTGGAGTATATTTAGAAAATATTTAGGCCGCCAGCGTAAGATACATGGGTCCTACATAAATATATGTTTAATTTATTGGTATACAGCTTGGGGTATGTATAGATGGAAGTGATGACCCACTGACCGCAAATGATATGACTGCAAACCTCCGAAAATATATCTGAAAATTCCCGGGACTCTCAAATACATGTGCCTAGTTAAACCCTTCAGTTTTGTGTGGATCCATTTTATTCCAAACCTTTCGGCCATATTCTTGACATTGCCTTGGGCCATGTTTTTCAAGGGGACATTTTCTCTATTACCCGATTTGACTACCCGGAAACAGTGCAATCCAAAGTGGTTTATTTAGTCCATTTGTACATAGAGACGATAAGTGTCAGAAGAGCATGATACATTAAAACACATGTGCAAACGCCAAATGAGACACGGTAATACGCCACAATTAAATAAACATAATCACTCTGAGAAGCAAGTATACGGTACTTGCACATGTATATAACTTGCTGACACGACTAAGTAAACATATACACTTATCTCCACACACACACACGCACGCACACATATATGTAGAACGTAGCATAATATTCACCATGGGGTAGGAACAAGTATAACAATATAAATAAAATATACTAAATAAGTAAATGCAGTGTAGCTCGTCACACAACTACCCTGAAACTACAAAGGGGTAACTTGGTGCAGTTATTCAAATTGATGATTTGACCGGGCAGTAATTATTTTAAATATTTTTTTATATTTTTCTGGAGCATTTACACGGTCTTGCATAACAATATATTCAAATAAATAAACCATGAGAGCTTGACCAAAGCTTTTAAAAGTAATCTCTATTACAATTAACAACGGAAGTATACTCTGATAACATAAAATTCAGTGATCTCCTTCTGTTTAAATTGGAATGCTGGTGGATAGTTATTATTTCTAAAGTTGAAAATGATTTGGCAAACTAATGATGAGGTTTAAAGGATTGTTATTTTCGATAAATAACCAAAATGAACATTTTCTTCGGATACTGTCACCGGGTTTTACGTTTTGTGCGATATCAAAATGTCCAATGTTTCGCCAGATGGAGCTGACTTTGTTACATTCCGAAAATATATGTGTAATAACATCATCAGAACATTACAACTTGTACAGTATACGTATCCCGTTTTATTAAGGAGACAGTTTGTTGGCAACATATCATATAAAATTTGATATAGGAACCACTGTAGTTTAGTGAGTAGGTGAGTGAGTATGGTTTTACGCCGCTTTTAGCAATATTCCAGCAATATCACGGCGGGGTACACCATAAATGGGCTTCACACATTGTACCCATGTCGGGAATCGAACCCGGGTCTTCGGCGCCACAAGCGAACGCTTTAACCACTAGGCTACCCGACCGCCCCCTGTAGTTTAGTCACGTTCGTGCAACTGAAAGGCCCGGGATAGAAATCAAGCGCGGGTCCAGCATTTTAAAAAGTTTTTAAGTGAGCGAGTTAAAATTTAACGTCGCATATTTTGATATATAATATATTTTTAAGGGGTGTGGGGCGCGTCAGTCATGCTTTATTAGCCAATTTCTTTTGCTTCATTCCAATGTGTTGCTATTGCGTGTGCGTTTTCGACAAAACACTGATATAGGTGTCCCTACCCCAAGAGACATCTTAATTCCTGACTGGCTTCTGAGAACAGGCTCATAACAGAAGAACATGTGTTTTCAAACACGACATATCGTCGAAATACACTCGATGAAAAAGGGAGGTTACTCAAATTACATTCATCGTCTGTTGGCGTGACGAGATGTAAATAATGTGAACATGTGACACTGTCATTGTACCAGGCACAGTGAAATTGATCTGGTTAGACAGCTTACTTAACAGGGATGCAGCCTGCATATGTTCTGAAAAGTAAACCCTTGTGTACTGTGGGGTGGTTCCAGAAAGACTGACTGACAGCTGCACGAGCGCCGACTCTCCTTGAGTCTCGACTAAAGTAAATCAGTTCAAACCTCACAATGTCGTTCCTTAAAACGCTTTTTCTGGTTGGGTTTTTTATTTTGACATCTTGGCCAGCCTCAGGACAGTATATAGAGCGGATGTCAAAACATATGGGAGAAATCACGTGTAAGTTGTTTTTGTTATTTTTTATTGTTTTATTGCATATATTGACTATGACATTTTTATTATAGGGGCCTAATAAGTGCATGTACACACAGAATTTTGTTTGGCCCAAGTAGATCTACTTGTTCTTTAAAATTTTCTCAGATTGTGTAATGGTTAGTAATTAGATTTTGACTGGCTGCTTCATACAGGCCTAAATCTTATTCAGTTGCCACATTATTAAAGATAGAAATTAGAAAAATCTGTGTATCTGATGTTGTATTCTTAAAATTACAAGCGTATAGTTGACAAAGTCATCTATATCCCCCGCCCATTTGAACACGTTATGGTCCCACACCAGGTAACTGACCCAACATTTCTCTTAGTCCATGTCAAAATAGCAGCAATGGAAATTCTAAAATAAACATTTCTAAAACTCCTTAATATCAAATGGCACTAGTTCAGTATGCGCTTTATATATAGACATGCAATGTTTGGCAAGGAAATATTTAACAGTTTATTTGTTATACTACTTAAGTAAACCAATCCTATATTAAAACTTAAGTCCAACTTGTTGTCATGGAAACATAAACAACAAAAATTTCTAAAAGTGCTATCTATCAAAAGGCACCAGTTCAGTATGTGCCTGGTAGACATGCAAAGTTTTGTAAGAAAGTATTTAACGGTTTTTGGAAACAAACACCACCCCTTTAGAACCTAACTCCAACTTATTGCCATGGAAACGTGAAAAATAAAAATTTCTAAAATTCCTAAATAGCAAGAGGCACCAGTCCAGTATGTGTCTGGTAAACATGCACAGTTTTTGTTGGAAAGCATTGAATGGGTTTTGAGTTATGCTCCGGAAACAAACTCAACCCTATAGAACCTAAGTCCAACTTGTTGCCATGGAAACGTAAAATATTTTTTTATAAAATTCCTAAATAGCAAAAGGCACCAGTTCAGCATGAGTCTGATAGACATGCAAAGTTTCGTAGAGGAATATTTAACGGTTTCTGAGTTATGCTCCGGAAACGATTTCGGGACGCACACACGCACACACGCACACACGCACGCACACACACATGGACGGAACCCATTTCTATATCCCCCGCCAACTTTGTTGGGGCGGGGGATAAACAATAGTTGCACAGGCAGGGAAACGGGGAGGTGTGTCACTAGAGCGATTGTTGCTTCGCTTGGGTCCAAAATCAAGGGAAAAAATGGTCGTTTTGGTGAGACTGGAAGTTGTTTTGACCAATGTTTTCTTAGAGGGAACGATATACAGGTAGCATCTAAACAATAAAACAGAGTCAAGCTTTGGGCGAGTGGTATATATTTGAAGACATAAAAGTTTTATTCTAAATGGATTGGATACAGCAAAGTCTCATCAGCAATCTCTGTTGTTTAAGAGGTCAAAAGGTCACGCTGGTGAGATGCCCCCAGGGAAACTCTTCTGTTTTGATTCACAATTAAAAATTAGGCCACACTTTTTTAAATTTATGTTTCATGGATTTATTCCAGCTTTTCCATACATGAATAAAAATAAATAAATTATTTATTTATTCATATGACAGTCATTCTGCTGTTTAGTTACAACTGCAGGTAGCCTCTTGATAGTGATGCTAACTTTGAATTTATACTTAATATTCTATATTGTATAAGAGAGTCTACATTACTAGCAGGAGACATCGTAAAAATATTCATTTTTATGGTTAATTTATTTCTTACAACGGCTGCTTTTCAGTAGGGGTGATGGGCCTGTGAAATGAAAAATAATAAATGTGAGGCCATAACAAAGCAGACCACTTTGAGTTCAGCTTTAATAAACGAACCCATATTGCACTGTGCAAATATTGTTTGTTCAGCTGTCAGCAATCTCTTGTCTGTGTGAGTCTGAAATCTGTTAGCCATGCTTGAGAACAAAGTTTAAGATCATGTAATTCTTTTAGCAGACATTCTTTACTTCAAGACATACGATTTCAAAGGAGAAGCCAAAATGTATTTCTGAGTGAACATTATCATGCCAAATTACTTAATTCTTTCAAAGGAGCAGCCAAATGATTGTTTATTTCACAACATTTTTTTCCAGGTTAGTCTGAGTCATTTGTGGATTAATGAGCACCCATTATATAATAAGTTGATCCTTTTTCCTGCCATTAAGTCAAGAATAAAGAGTATAGAATGATTGGAATCTCTAGCATTTGTCCAGTTGAGACTTATTCGAAGACCCAAATGACTGACTGCATTGCTTGTATCTGTCTTTCATCCAGTGATTTCTTCTTTTAACAAACTAAAGGGATGAATGTGAAAGTTTAGGACAATGTCACCATGCCAGGACTCAGAGTGTTATGGGAAACCATTATCACAGTGATGAAGCTGAATCTTTATGTAGTCAAGTCAAGTTTATTTGCTTTAAAGGCCATACGACCCATAAAGAATTTACTGGAAATGTACATATATGTGACGTGTAAGGTGTTGTAGATATTTTACAGCAAAACAATATCATTATTTAAGAAATATTTGACATGTGGTATGTCGATTACCTTTTCTCCTAATACCGATTGTCATGTCGCTTCTGCTTTTGGATACACTCATTAAGCCACCGCGTTTTTCTGCATTGCCCAGCTGCATCTATGGGGAACAACTCACTAGACACTTCCCTCTCAAATAACATCGTCCAATAAACAACATCATAAAGTTGCGAACGCATGTTTGATTCTCCAGAAATGATGTCATAATAGAACTATGATTTATCGTGAAATAAACCATGCTTCATTCATTATTGTCCTTTGCGATTTATCGCATAGCTATCTTATATTAAAAATTGATACAGCTTTCATATGTCTCCCCTAGAATGGAATATAGTATGCAAACATTTTAATATTTCAAACATGATATCCTTATTATCAGATTCAGATAAACACTGATAGTTATGCAAGTAACTTACTCTGTTCTATTTCACACACAGAGCAGTTAACATGGTATTCCACTTCAGATACCTGCCATACTGGACTCATGACTTCCAGATCATTATAGCACACAGGCCTCCACAACATTTCTGCGTTTGGAGTGAAATAAAGCAAAAGGGAAAGTAACGATTAAAAAGAAGAATTTTACTCAAATGTTTTTGATGTAACAAGTGTACCATGGCAATCTTGTAAAAAAACCAATAATTCAGCATTTGTTTGAGTACATCTGAGAATAATCATACATCTCCCATCTCTTGTGACAACCCTACTATTCCAAATCCTTGTACATCAAAGAGGAAACCTTCAACATGTTACCCATTTGCATGTGTCCTTTAATGTTAAACAATACTGATGAGGATATCTTATTTTCAAATGTTCAGAGGATGTTCAAAGATCTTTCTTTGTAGTAAAGTTAAATTTCCACTTTCAAATGTTGTTATTTTAGTGATAGTTACTTGCCAATTGATCTCTATATAACGTCAGTCTGTCAGAAGTATGTAGAGGGTTTAAAGGACTTTTTTGCAAGGATAGAGAAGGAAATATCAAGTTGAATTTTAGAACATGTATCAGTAATTAATTTTCAGCATCCCAAGCACAGCAGAGAGCAGCATCCACACTTCCTGGCCTTACCAAGCCCTTTGCCTTTGCCTCCTACTACTCCAGTCACATGGTTCTCCAGAAGGCACCTAAGAGAGCCACAATCTGGGGCTACGCTGCCAACATCGGTGAGAGGATCATCATCAAGGTGAGCGAGAGAGGGACGTACACAACCAAGGTGTACCTTGACCCGCTCTACAACTATGGGGTGTGGAAGCTGAAGCTGCCCGCAGAGTCGAGTGCCGGGCCCTTCACCATCACTGCCATATCACGCGAGAAGACGATCACACTGACGGACGTGATGTTTGGAGATGTGTGGGTGTGCTCAGGGCAGTCCAACATGCAGTTTACCATCACACAGGTATGTTTGGGAGAAGATCTCAATCTCATTAAAATCTTTTACACCGATTTGTTATCTCAACGACAATCTGACAAACCTCAATAGCCAGTCATGTGAGGTGAATGCTAAGTGAACGTGACTGTCGAATCTGAATGAAATATATGTGGAGTTTTGTGCCAATCAGATGTCAGCTTTCTATAATGATCTGTCTTCATCATATTTGTATTTCTTCACCATCATCAATCGGCAATCGTCAGTTGGCAATTTCTGTGACTTTCTGTCTCTGATTCAGGTTTCAACAAAAGAACACCCAACACACATATACAATATTTGCAAAAACTTTTTCGAAAATCATGCTTTTTAGCCGTGTGTGTTATTTAGAGACCACTCCGTCAGATGACCAGAGTGATGGGTTACATAGGAATATGATCCAGTGAACATGTTAGTCACTGGCAGTGTGTATGCAGATGATTAAAAATAGTTTATAAACAGATACTTACTGATACATAATGAAGTGTATCGTATATGGAATTGTTGAGTTTACATAGTGATGCACTGGAACATTTCCCATTTGTTTCTGCCCATAATGTTGTCACTGAAATATTGTTGGCTTAACACATAGCCCAGTAGTTTTAATAGTATTTTCCTCTCATCAATTTGAACACACTGTATACAGTATATACATACTACTGTCTTGATTCAGGGGTTCAATGCAAGTGAGGAACTAGCCGATGCCAACAACTACCCTAACGTCCGTTTGTTCACCGTTGGCGATGTCCCTGCATCCTTCCCCATCCCCGACCTCCATGGCATCTGGGAGCAGTGGGCTGTCGCTGACAAATGTTTGTACAGATATTTATCCATCCTCATTCACCAAGGGTAATGTGTGCGCAACATTCCTGTTTTAAGCCCTGAATGTCATGAATCATGTAAACTTGATGTACGTCTTCAAGTATATGGCTCCTTGCAGGTACAGTGACTCATTACCTAGCATTGGAACGATGCGTAGAGCTTGAGGAAAGATGGCAGTTGGCAACTACAGAAGAAAATTGTGTTTGTCACTGTACATAAACTGAAGAAATTACAAATCACAAGCGGCAGTTGCGTGAAAACATTGTTATGCTATGAATTGCCACATCCGATAGTTGTATAATATGATGATATAGTTATAAAGTTGTTCCCCACCGACTCTCAGCCTCATACAGACATAATTTCTTTGAATGGTTATCATTAGATGTGAATCAAAATTAACATATATTGAAGGTTTGTGTTTGTTAATATAAAAGCTATTTTGAAACAATGTTTATGGAGACATCTCTTTTGACACTTTTGCAAGTTTTCATGGCAGCTAGCAGCATTAATAATATCTATCTTGGTTCCCATGCCCTGAGTAACCTAAGAATAGCCTGAGTAATGTCGCTGATTGTACCACAGTGCTAGGCTCCTGAATATGAAACGTTCATGATACTTGGAACGTAGATATGTACCGGGGTATGGTATACATTACTTGTTGGATGAGAACATTTAGCAAATGCTTGCTTTACAATAAAGTCATGGTTTTATATATCTGGACGTAGTCCTTACCTATTAATTATGTGTTTTTCAGACTTTGTCCCCAAGAGGCAAGTAATGAAAATAACAAACTCTAAAGTCAATGTTCATGCCTACCTTTTGTGGTTCATACATTTTTAGGGAAAGTGCTACCCTTCTGTATTAAGTGAAGTTTGTGCTTGAGTGGTCTGAAGTGAACAAACAATCAAATTGTCAATGTAACTAAAATATTTGACATAAGGTTACCCTAGGTTTCGGATTTCTTTTCCCTGGAGACCTAAACAGTGGCAGATGAATCTGTACAAGTTATTGTCACTACTCATGTTGAATGTGTAACATGTGGCTGTCAGCTGTGAATTAATTGGAACTTTATACAAGTATTTCTATACCCTGACAACTGTAGTAGATTGTACATTGTTTGATTTGTTAATGCATCATCAAGTATCACTCAGTCTATCAGGAATAATCTGCTCAATACCAAGGCAAGAGTATCCACTAGAATTTTTATCAAAGTCTTGTTTCCACCCTTGCCACATCAAGCCCACTTTCCTGTCCTAAATATGATTGGACTATCACACATATCCATAGTCCAATCCGAGAACGTTTCACAAAATCAACATACACGACTGGTACACCATATGAAGGTGATTTATCGCTGCCAGTCTTTGTTGACATGAATATGTCATTTTCATCTTTTAAACCAACCAACGATTGTCTATTTTTTATGTCAGTGATGAAATCGTTAATGTTTACGTTATCTGATCGACTAGGACATCATGCACCTATGGTAGTCGCCATGTTTGTGAAGCTATACGAGATAAAAACAGCAATTTGATTGGATATTACATTTTCATTACAATTTGACTTTCATGGGCTGTTTGCCATTGTTTCTGAGATGTTTGGCCTTTTAAGATTATTTATGTATTAAAATGGTCACTGTGTTATTTCAGTGACCCCATATTCTGTTCGAACAGCATCAGCTGGTGGAAAGCTGTGGCAGTACTTCTCTGCTTTGCTGTGATATCTATACCACACTAAAAATCTTGTCCTGCTATTTGAACCGCATCAGTTGGTGGAAAGCCGTGGCAGTACTTCTCTGCTTTGCTGTGATATCTATACCACACTATAAATCTTGTCCTGCCATTTGAACAGCATCAGTTGGTGGAAAGCCGTGGTGTTACTTCTCTGCTTTGCTGTGATATCTATACCACACTAAAAATCTTGTCCTGCTATTTGAACCGCATCAGTTGGTGGAAAGCCGTGGCAGTACTTCTCTGCTTTGCTGTGATATCTATACCACACTAAAAATCTTGTCCTGCTATTTGTACAGCATCAGTTGGTGGAAAGCTGTGGTGTTACTTCTCTGCTTTGCTGTGATATCAGTACCACACTATAAATCTTGTCCTGCTATTTGAACAGCATCAGCTGGTGGAAAGCTGTGGCAGTACTTTCCCCGCTTTGCTGTGATATCTATACCACACTATAAATCTTGTCCTGCTATTTGAACCGCATCAGTTGGTGGAAAGCCGTGGCAGTACTTCTCCGCTTTGCTGTGATATCTATACCACACTATAAATCTTGTCCTGCCATTTGAACAGCATCAGTTGGTGGAAAGCCGTGGCAGTACTTCTCTGCTGTGTGCTGGCTGTTTGGTAAGACCCTGAACAAGAAGCTTGGCTACCCCATCGGCCTGATCGACACATCCTGGGGAGGGACGCCTGTCGAGGCCTGGTCATCTACAGATGCTCTGGCCAAGTGCGGACTGGACAAACAAACATCTGAGTAAGTAACTTTTGCCTTTGGTAGGCTTTATATTTGCTGGTCACAGCAACTGTCAGTACAGATTAAAACCTGACATTACATAATATTGCCATCAGTTTTGAGTATTTCTGTCTTTCACAATCCTTATCAAATAGAGTTATGTTTTTTCTGAAAAGAAATTTTGTCAGCATTGTCAGCGTTTTGCTGATTGCACATGTTCCATACATTGGTTGTGATCACATTGTTGCCTATAACTTTCATAAAATCGGTCAGTTACCCCCTACTCATTTGACTAGGTTTATTTATCAGATGGAAAACCCTGTCTGTTTCTTGTTGATGTGTTGGTGCCTGAGAACTATCTCTATATTTTACACCAACATTTTTGAATCTCTAATATCACAACATCAACTATTTAAGCATGGCCAGTTATCTGGACATTGTTGTTATAACAACAATGTTTGAGAGCTGCAGATGTGAGAACTAGGTACCATTCCAGGGTTTTAAGCGACGCTCAGGGTACAGGGGGCCTCATCACACCATATGCCCTGAGGGATCGCTTAACTACAAATTTATCTCACTGAATTTCATTCATACAGACCAGGAATATATGTCGGAAGTTTCACCGAGTAAAATGCTTTGATTCAGCCATTTTGACGAACCGAAATACTTCCCTTTGCCCAATGCATTTGGACAAATGAAACTTATGCAATGTAAGCAAGTTACCTTAAAAATGTTACGATTAATTTCTCAGCGGGCTACATGGAAAATAATTGGCTGCTCCTTAACCAATCAGAAGCTAGAATTTTAATGTAAGGTGAGGTAAAATTTGTTGTGAAGTTTTTCAAATTTATTAGATAATGACAACAAGATTTAACTAAAATATTGTTTAGAGCTACATTAAGCCAGATTCCTTGCCATTTCAGTGATGTTTTCATTTCAGTATATTTATTCACAGAGTGAAGGCATTCAATGAGCATCAACTAGGATTTGATCCAATAACAGGCATTGGAGGACCTAGCGCTTCCTCTATTCTGTGGAATGGAATGGTCTTCCCTCTCCTCAATATGACCATATATGGAGCTATCTGGTATCAAGGTAGATGATTCAATGCAAAGATTTAGGTTTAAGAAAGTTTCTGCAAAAGATATTTAAAATGCCACCTACATAAATCTGCTTTCAGAATAATGATATGGTAGTCACTGGTATTTCTATATTCAGCACTGATGTAGGCCACAGGCCCTTGTACATTATAGTATAGTACAGCTTGGAACATAAAGAAATGCTTTCTCAAGGTTTTTGATTATCGTTTAACATGACATCTTAGGGTTAGCTAGGGTTAATTTTTTTTTTTTTCGAGTTTCCGTGGCAACGACTTTGATTTAGACTGAAAATGGCAGTAGTCCTTGTTTCCGGAGCAGATCTTGAAAACCGTACCATATTTCTTCACCAAACTTGGCACATAGATAGAGCTAGTGTTGGATTGGTGCCTTTTGATAGTTTGGGATTTTAAAAAAAGTTATTTTTCGAGTTTCCATGGCAACGACTTTGACTTAGACTGAAAATGGCGTTAGTCCTCGTTTTCGGAGCAGTTCTTGAAAAACGTACTATATTTCTTTACAAAAAGGCCTAGCGAACATAGTTCACAGGCGCTAATGCATTGCAAACACCCGACATGTCATATTGGTGGGGGATGTGAGTATTTCATGCTTGTTAAATTTTAATCTAAAACAAATTCAAAAGCTTCTTGACTGTCAACTCTGATTTTCTCAAATGAATCCAAAAAACACTTTCATGAAAAAGACATTTAATCAATTCTACCATTATGACATGCCTGAAATACACTCCAGGGGATTCCAGGTTAGACTTGTTCCCTAGCAACCTATGCTGGTTGTAAGATGCGACCTAGTGGAACTTAGACTTGGTTGATGGCACATAAATGTATGCCGACGATGTGGATAGTTGCTCATAATATCAATCACTGGATTGATTTACAAGCCACCATCATAAAGTGGATATACTGCTGAGTTTGACATTAAACAGCATTCACTCGCTCACTTTTATCCTAACTCACACACTCACATCGTAAATCACTCGCTCACTATGAGGGACAGTTTGATATAATATCATGGCATTACATTACATAACATTTAGTATATATTTTGTTTTTGTGTACTTCAAGTTCTCTCAATATATGCCATGGCTGTTTTGTTCATCAAACAGGCCCTGTTGTTCTTGCAGTTTTATGTTTTGTATTCACATTTTGGGGGCAAGTTTGCATTTGAAAGAATGAAAATAATAGTGCTTTCCCAGATTATTTCTTTTCCACTTTTCATGTTTTCCACAGTATTTGTGTTTCCTTATTATGGATTGACTCTAGGAAAATAAATATCAGGATCAACTGACTCCCGGTCAACAAAAATACTTTTTCGCCCTTGGGTAGTCAGTGTTTGATGTTGGATGAATGACTAAGGACATACATGTTGACCCTAATGACACAAAACTACTGACAAACAACGATTATGATTAAAATCAGCAGCCAGGCCTAAGGCCACAGTGTCATAAAGTCCCACTTCCATGCATGCCTGCCCATGACATATGAGAAATTATCCTTCTAATCCTTCTCTAGGAGAATCAAACGAGGTAACAAACGTCCACAAATACAACTGTACGTTCCCCGCCATGATAGATGACTGGAGACAGAAGTTCCACAATGCATCTGACGGAGAAACGGATTCTGTATTTCCGTTTGGCTTTGTGCAGGTACACTTGCACTCTCACACTTGAACTCACAACCATTTGTTTGATAAATGCTACCATTACGCTACAGTGTCCTTATTAAAAAAAGTAATTTGGTGAAAAATTTGTTTACACAGTAATATTTTCTAGAAGACTTTTGATGTTCACACGCATGATCTGTCCCGACAACCTCTGCCCAGCATCCCACTGGACCAGGTACAGAACTCGGAGGATATGAAAGCTGTGTCCAAATCCGGATGTGTTTTGCCTTTTTCATCAAAACTTGCTTCAATCTATTTTATGTACTGCTATGTACCAACCAGTGCTTGGTTCCAGTTGGCCGCTTACCGTCCTGACAGCGCTGACCCTGGGTTCCCGGAGATCCGGTGGCACCAGACAGCTGACTACGGCTATGTGCCCAACCCCAGGATGAAGAATGTCTTCATGTCTGTTGCCATGGATCTCCCAGACTTTACCTCTCCCTATGGAAGGTCAGGAGAATAAGGCATTTGATTTTTTTGTTACAGTCAAACCTGGTTATCTCGTACCGTGTTATCTGTATTTCGAACCTATACTCCTGTCCCAAAAGCATCACTATAAAAATACATATAAATTTACCTGCTTATCTAGATTCGAGATAAAGTACATAGCACTATCTTGAAGCTTGGACTCGGTCCCAACTAACTTTACTATAGAATTTGGTATCTTTATCTCGAAGTTGGCATTGCCACATTAACAGTTTTTAGAAGCGCAAGTATATCTGGTACCTTTCCTCACAGTGCAATGTAGACCAATTGTTCAACCAATTATGCAATTATCAATTACCACAATTGTAATGGAAAATCTCTGACAAATAAAACATCGTGACTAGACATGAGTAAAAACAGGCTGGAACTTCCTAATTAAGTGCTAATCAAAGTCGGAATATAGGAATCAAAGCCACATAACCTGACTCACAATATCCATGCTGTGAATTAACAAGTTTGAGGCGAGAGTGGCATGTTTTGTCAGGTGGACAGACTAGTGATTGTTACCTAATAAGGTACGTGCACACTGTACATAATTTGTCGCAATTGTTATTAATCATTGCTGGTAAAATACATTTAAATTTGTCATTGCATATACATGTTGCGCTCTTATTTTCTTGGGCATGCAATCATATTACTATGTATTTATGATACTGTGTCACTTGATCTGTATGGATGTTCATGCCTCATTTTCTCGAATGTCCGGACATCTTGGGAGTTACAAGACAGTCACGCTAGGTTCCAGATAACGGAGTTCGACTGGAGTTGGTTTACAACGATTTACTCTAAAATTCAATGAAGATTGTCCAAAAATATATAAGACTTAATCTGACAGTATTGTTCCCGAGACTTATGTTAACAAAGCCTCACTTGATGGTTGGATGTTTTACAAGAACAGCACTCTAAACCTGTGCATGAAATGTGGATGCTATGCCATCTTTTAATGATACTGTTTTCGCTTGAAGAGCTGTGAGTATTTTATGCTGATGTGTTTTGTGTTTGTTCCAGCATCCACCCCAGAGACAAGCAGGATGTTGTAGCCAGGCTGGCTGTCAGTGGGATGAGTGTTGCCTACAACCAACAAGGGGAGGTAACTCAGGGGCCTCTACCAGCAAACGTACAGGAAGGGAAAAAAAACTTCACCCTGATGTACACAGAGAAGATCAAGTACAACAACCTGGTTGGATTTGAAGTTAGTGTCAGGATCATATTCTAATTTTCATTTTAAGAGTTGAGGTGAAATGGGGTTTAACGTCGCGTCCAAGATTATTGCGCTTATATAGCGAAGTGCATGCACGTGTGTGTGTGGCTGCTTGTACTAGTCCGGACTGATGCCGATTTATAGTGCTAACTCACTGAGATACCATGCCGCAGTTTAACATGAATACCCCACTCAGACACAGTATACTTACTCCGAGCCAACCAGTCCTTGATTCAGTAAGACCCTTAATGCCAAGCGCCAGACAGGGTACAACAAGTACCATTTTTTAACGACTTTTGGTATGACGCAGTCGGAGATCGAACCCCGGGCCTTCCGCACTCCGGGCGGACGCTCTACCACTAGATCACAGAGGCGGTCAAACATTCTAAGAGAACTTAATAGTTCTTAAGTATGGAAAAATTCAACAAAATACCAAAAGTTATTCTCGATTCTAAGACTTGTCTTAAGCCATATTCCTAACATTTATTAGGACTTAATATTAGGTTACACTAGAACTGGCAAATTGTTATTTCTCTGGAGGACTTTTAGCCACCATTCGCAGGTGGGATATGCCCCGTGGGAACTTGCGGGAACTATATGATCGTGTTCGAAGTAAATAAAGTGATTGCAAAATAATTCATTTCCATACAATCACTATACTGTGCCCTGATGGCACAGGTTGTTGTCCATGCATGGTTTCAGTCACTGGTTTGTCTGGTCCAGACTGAATTGTTTACAGCCTGCCATCCTGGAATAGTGCTGACTTAAGCGTTTTCGCTCAGCTGATGAAACTCAAATAATTTAGGCTGCTATATTCTTGGTATGACTGAGCCAAGTATTCAGACAAGCATATCTGACTTTTGTATCTCGTAAACAAACTCAACTGACCATTTCCGAATATAGAAGATTTAGGCCACACCTTTGTATTGCTGTGGATATTTGATACACTCCCTGCCATTTCTGAGTGCCATGGCATCTATTCCGAAAAGAGGGTGGGTGAGTGAGTGAGTGAGTGAGTGAGTGAGTGAGTATGGTTTTATGTCACTGTCAGCAATATTCCATCAATATCATGGTGGAGTGCACCAGAAATGGGCATCACACATTGTACCCATCTGATGATTCGAACCTGGGTGTGAAAAGCAAATACTTTAACCACTAGGCTATTCAACTGCCCCTTATCCAAAGGAGAGTACAATCAATGGAAGGGTGTACATACCATCAAGGGAATATTTTGAGTTGTGTGTGGGGTCTCTTTTGTACAGATCTGATTGGCTAAAAAATCCTTGCTTCCTTCATTTAGACTTGATTGTCAAAGCTCTGATGGTTCACCTGACATGGTTTTCTGTGGAAGTGTCCTCACATCTTGATGCGATGTTTGGGAGTAAAATAGCTGATGTTAATGGGATTGTCAACTATTGTTTGTAATAGTTTTCTACAAAAGGTGAAAATACATGCTAAAGCTTGTTTCACATGACTATTTCAGGCTCTGTGCTCTGTAGAAAACTCCAGCAAGACATTCTGGACCCCCACCCCCATCCTGTCTGCCCTCCCAACCAGCATCACATTGTACTCCCTGGTGTGTGGGGAGGGGCAGACTGTCCTGGGGCTCAGATACAGCTGGAGGGAGACCCCCTGTGCCTTCAAGACCTGCACGGTGTACTCGGCGGACAACCCTCTCCTCCCTGGACCTCCCTTCCTGGTGTACCGGAAGATGACCGGGGTAGCTGGGACAGTTCACACTATAGACTGGAACACTCCGACTGCCATTCACAATTAATACATTATAGAGGCAGACACACATATAGACTTCATACAGTATTTCATAGACTGGAACACACCGACTGCCATTCACAATTAATACATTACAGAGGCAGACACACATATAGACTTTATACAGTATTTCATAGACTGGACCACACCGACTGCCATTCACAATTAATACATTATAGAGGCAGACACACATATAGACTTCATACAGTATTTCATAGACTGGAACACACCGACTGCCATTCACAATTAATACATTATAGAGGCAGACACACATATAGACTTTATACAGTATTTCATAGACTGGAACACACCGACTACCATTCACAATTAATACATTATAGAGGCAGACACACATATAGACTTTATACAGTATTTCATAGACTGGAACACACCGACTGCCATTCACAATTACTACATTATAGAGGCAGACACACATATAGACTTTATACAGTATTTCATAGACTGGAACACACCGACTACCATTCACAATTAATACATTACAGATGCAGACACACATATAGACTTTATACAGTATTTCATAGACTGGAACACACCGACTACCATTCACAATTAATACATTACAGAGGCAGACACACATATAGACTTTATACAGTATTTCATAGACTGGAACACACCGACTGCCATTCACAAGTAATACATTATAGAGGCAGACACATATATAGACTTTATACAGTATTTCATAGACTGGAACACACCGACTACCATTCACAATTAATACATTACAGATGCAGACACACATATAGACTTTATACAGTATTTCATAGACTGGAACACACTGACTGCCATTCACAATTAATACATTACAGATGCAGACACACATATAGATTTTATACAGTATTTCATAGACTGGAACACACTGACTACCATTCACAATTAATACATTACAGATGCAGACACATATATAGACTTTATACAGTATTTCATAGACTGGAACACACTGACTACCATTCACAATTAATACATTACAGATGCAGACACACATATAGACTTTATACAGTATTTCATAGACTGGAACACACCGACTACCATTCACAATTAATACATTACAGATGCAGACACACATATAGACTTTATTCAGTATTTCATACACTGGAACACACCAACTGCCATTCGAAATTAATACATTATACAGACACACAAACTGTATATATACATTTCATAGGTTGTAAGGATATCTTGTATAAAGTGTGACTGTGTCAAGTTCATGTAGAACTCATGTCCATGAGACTATTGTTTCCTCCAGGATATCTCCAGATACCTGTACTTACTGAATATTGTGGCTGTATGCAGCTTTTACCTGGAGCACTCCATTACATCACATTCCAGTCATAGTCGTGTTGTAGATGTTCGGTCATATGGATTGTGATTGACCATTATGCCACTTCTTGTCATTATTCTGTTTGGCACATTATATCATTATTAAATGCACATGATGTTATGTTCGTTCTAGTAACATTTACTTCGAGCAGCACACTATTTACTCAGTAGCACATTCTACTCAATATTTCAGTGACCCTCCATGTGCCATGTCATGTTATCAGTCTGACAGCTGCACACTGTTCCAAGTGCAGGCACAAAGGAGACGTGTCCTACAAACTAATTATGTTTAACTGAAGTCCTTACTAAGCCTCGTCAGAATGCGGTGCGGACATTTTATAGTCCATGTTATGGCAACATTTGACCGAGTTCGAGAGGTTAGTGAGTAAGTACAGGTTTTAAAACCTTTGAACCGCACTCTTTACATATGTAACCAATGTATCACCTTATTTCAATATTGTACAAGTTCATAGTTCCAGGAACATACCAGTACTGTTGGGGAAATAGGTTTGTTGGACAGTAGACCCATCTTTTGACTGCAAGGAGGTAACTCAAAGTTAATTGTGATCCTATCCAATTGTAACATCCTATCAAACTCAATGCCAGTCAGCCAACTGTTGTGGGTTTTCACAAGTTAGTGACTAGCAAATTAATGTTTGGATTGTATGATGAATGAAGACAAGTTGTGTTACTGTATGCCATTGTTTGTGACGTCAAAAATAGATGATACATTGCTGATAGAAGCATTCAGGAAAAATAACAAATGAGTTTTACATTATGCATCGACAAGCTTGCCTAATATGTTCTATGTGGTACAATCAGCACCTGTGATATTTGATACATTTAGAATCTGCTTGATATACTCAACATGTTCGGGTTAGATATTTAACAGTCCCATATCCCATATGAACAGGATGAAGCCATTGGATTCCGCCGACACATAGGTGGGTGCGATTCAGTTCTTTACTCAGTATAGAGCAATATATTAAATCATTTTTTCAAACTTTTACTGATGATTCTTTTAGCTTTGATATTGATCACTATGTTTTCAGTACCTAAACTGACTTTAGATGCATTTATATTGTGACTTTTTAAAACCATAATACATGTATTCTCACTAAGTATTGAGGTATCTGTGTGCTTGCATCAACAAAGCCTGTAACACTGTTACTCCAGCACGTGGTGATTGGTTTCAGAACAAATTTAATGTTTCAATTTTTAGTCACACAACTCTGCATACATATTCTATTGAGGGAGCAGTGCCTTTATAGCTGTCTGGGGATTTTTTTCATATGAAATTTGTTGTTAGTCATTTTCTCCCATTTTCTCATTGTATCTATTTTGAAATTTGATGTGCAGCAAATATATGGTATGAGAATAACATAAGTTTCTTTACAAAGTGTAATGTTTGACTCTGTTATGGCCTTAAATCTTCAAATGACCAAGTTAATCTACATTTAGTGTATTTTCAACACCTTTAATTGATGCATTTTCAACACCTGGCTTTGTTGCTTTGATTTTTGGAAAAGCTGAAATGTTTTTAATGTAATCCAAGCCATGGTGGCTCCACAGTATTGTGTTGGTTGGTTTGTTGTTTTACGCTGCACTCAGCAATATTCCAGCTATATGACGGCGGTCCACAGTATTGTGTTGGTTGGTTTGTTGTTTTACGCCGCACTCAGCAATATTCCAGCTATATGACGGCGGTCCACAGTATTGTGATCTGATTTGGAACATGTGCATCAGGGCAGCCATATTGAAATATTCTTTTGTGCACATTACCAAGTTATTTTTTGATGGATGTATAGTACTGAAATATTCCTACTTTTTTTTTGCACATTCTTTATCTTTTACCCTTTTCTTATGACCTCTATTTTTAATGAATTTTTTTTACAACATATTTTGCAAAACAGTGCTTTGTTCCCCATGAACTCTGGGAATATTCGTATGCAATATCCTCACCTGGATTATAGGATATGTGTGAAGTTAGCATTGTTACCATGACAACTGGAAAGAGCAATGACAATGTTGCTGTCAAAGTGGGGGATTTTGCTATATACCTATGTACATCCTTGGTGGGATGTGTATAATATTAAAAAGTATTTTGGCAAATAAAATGTCAGTGTTTGTTATGTTTCTGTATCTTCAGTATGTTGAGTGACTGTTTGAATTTGTAAATTCACGTATTTGTTGTCATGGTTGTTTGTTGTTTAAAGTCGTGCTCAACAACATTCCAGCTACATAACGGTCGTCTATAAATAATCAAGTCCGGACCAAACAATCCAGTGATTAACATAAGGTGAGGTGAAATAGGGTTTAATGTCGCGTCCGGAGATTATTGCACTTATATAGCGTTGTGCATGCACGTGTGTGTGAGGCTGCTTGTACTAGTCCGGACTGATGCCGATATATAGTGTTAGCACACTGAGATACCATGCCGCAGTTTAACATGAATTCCCCATTCAGACACAGTATACTGACTCCCGAGCCGACCAGTCCTTGTTTTAGCCCCTTAATGTCGAGGGTCAGAAAGGGTAACAAAAAGTACCATCTTTTATCGTCTTTTGGTATGAGGCGGTCGGGGATCGAACCCTGGACCTTCTTCTTTCTGGGGTGGATGCTCTACCACTAGACCACGGAGGCAGTCCTGATTAACATGAGCATTGATCCATGTAATTGGGATATGACATGCAGCAACAAGTCAGCAAGTCTGATCACTCGGGTGGTGGAGTAGTCCAGTGGTCAAAGTTTTTGCCTGCGTGATATTGCCCCCCATGCCCCGTGGCATGGTATCTCAATGGGCTAGCACCATAGAATCGGCATGGAATGACAAATGTGGATCACTGCTCAACTCCATATTCCAACTTTGGTTTGGAGTTTATTGCTTTATTTGGCAAAATTCCAGCTGTATCACAATGGCCTGTACACAATCGAGTCTGGACCTGACAATCCAGTGATTAGTACGAACAATTACCAGGGCTGTAGGGCTATCAACTAAGTCACCAAAAGTTGCCTTGTGGGGCAAGCATAGAATGCCCGGGATCAATTCTAACCCGGAATCCCCACAGGGCTCCATAAATCACCGTTTCCTCAGGATGATCTATAGCTCTGATAGTGCTGATTACAGCGACAGCACACACTGACACATATTTCACTGACAGCCCATTGCCTGTGGTAATCCATTGCTGTACCATTGATCATTGGTTTGTTACAGATTTACCTGCATGTGATGTAGCTGTGATATTGCTGACTCAGCCCAAACAAGAATATTTCACTGTTTGTAAAAAAGATTAAAAGGCACACATCTGAAGAAATGGTTGGTAATTTATCATAAAAAATCAACAATATCAAAGACATTACAAACATTAAAACTCGGTGATATGACAAGTGTAGGGCATACAGACGCGTAAATATCAAACCTTTTTCATTGAAACTCATCCATCACTGTTTTCCCACTTCCGTGTTTTCTGTATCTGTGTTTTGAAGCACAGATAAAGGATCTTGTCCAACACGAAAACGTCATTTGATCACATGCAGTGCAGCGATACAAATGCATGTATCCTGAGAGGTGCCCTGCAGACGATACACTTCACAGGTTCGTGGTGCACGTGTGATCAATGCTATACATGATCATTGCCTGGGCTTCAGTAACACCAGAGCCGATACAGGGTATGCGTTCTCTGAGTGCACTGTCGAGACATACGACATTGACCCACTTTTAGGAGCAGTTCAACAGTTCGATGTTCGATCAGAAATCCTTAAGTTTACCTCCGCACACTTAAATTTAAGAGTAAATATTTTACTATCATCAGAAATAAATAAATCATATTATCACGACATGCAAGGAAGGTTGTGAACTTACTCTACCTTCCTTGTATGTCTATTGCCATCTCATTGTGTCTTCGATTTTAAGAGTAGAAATGCGACGTTTACAGTTGATATTTATTGCCTTGAACTTTAATAACCCTTAAAAGTTGTTTTCGTCGAATGGAACGCATACAAGCCAGTTAACTTCCATTTCCTCCAAAGAAAAAAAGATTTGTATCCGACATTGAACTTTGAACTGCTTCTTAATGCCCGGTAATAGCTTCGAACCGTACACGTATAGAACGCACGTTACAGTCATAAATGACAAAGGTTTGTCCTGGACGTATAGATCCAAGGACAACAATAGAATACTGTCTCTTCTATCCCACCAAATATATTCCTTTAAAATAAATTGATATATTGTTACTAAGCTTGTCCAGTATATTAATTTACATACAAATGTACACCAATAAACACAAATGCTTGTAAATTATCTCTCTGAAATTATTTTGCTCAAGACCTTTCGATAAATTTGTTTCCGCTGCGTTTGTCAAACCTTTGAATTAAAAATGTTTTCTACGGTAATAGATGAAGACTGACTTTCGAGGCGTGTCTGGAACTTCGTTAGAGACCAAGACAAACCGGCATGACTCTTTGGAATAACCCCCACACGGAAGAAATATACTTTACTTTGTGTCTATCCTCACATAAACCATACATCTACATAACATAAAATTAGTTAAAAATAAAAATATGTTTTTTGTTTTTTTATTATAGAATACAACATGTTTAGAAAAAGAGTATCAGATATGCAAAGCCGGGAGAAGAATAGCAAAACTACACAGAACTTTTTATTTAGAAGGTCAAACACATAGAAAAAAAGAACAGTTCATTGCGGAAGATGTGTAGCGAATTTAAGTACCCTTCATTAAATGATCTTTCATGGAAAAATGGTTGAGGACACATGTATGGTAATACAGTCCGATAGATAACCTAGTTGAGTCCAGGGAAAGTATACATGTTATATGTAGTAATTGTACGGCCAATTCATGCGTTCGAGGGTATACATAAAAATAATTTCACCGCCTGCCAAACATATAAATCTATTAGGAAGTAATATTAAATTCCGAGTATTTAAACGGTAACCTTCCATCAGGTGAATTTTAATGACATACGTAAAAGTGACGTGATCAGGGCGGAATTATCTACAACGGGAAAATGATATTCGAACAATAATTGAACCCAAAATGCAGCTTTTACATTTCCGCTGTAGAAATAAAACTGCGATTTCAAGGAGAAAATGTCTCTTGTTCTTGACCGGATGCACCGTAATGATGACGTTTATTGCAAAATCTCTGACGATCAGCACACTCTCTTGCTCTTCTGTGCGGGGCACTTCCAGGCACCCCCGTCGTAGCAGATACACATGTAGCGGATACACTTCTCTGTATACGCGAACAGTCGGCTGAAGAACGTCCGGTTTCCAACAGTGCAACCTAAAAATGAAATAGAGTGAGTGAGTGAGTTTGTTTTAACGCCGCTATGAACAGTATTCCAGTTATATCACGGCGTGTCAGCGTGATGTCAAAATACCATAGTGATGCAGGTCTTTGACGTTTACCACTTCGGTAAAACCAACGAACGAACGAACGTGCTGACAAACCTAGAAAAATCAGGACAAAACGGGAGAGCCTCGACTATAGTGTTCTGGTACCCCTAAGGGACGCAACTCTGCCCAGCGAACTGCGGCGCTTTGACGACCAGGCCATAGTTGGCCCATAAGCATAAAACACACGTTCATGTAGCGTAACTTGAATACCTGTGACACACTCGTAGACAGTGCAAACTCGTTAATCTTGAGTCTGGTACCAATATCGGACGAATAGGTTTTCGCATCTACGAAATTTGAGTTTACAATCAGTGTTTGTCTTACAAACGTCAAAGATATTGGGAACACACGATATAATCAAAGGGCACGCGTCACTCGAAACTGGAAGGCGGTACTTACACGCATATAAAACCTCAGTAGAAAAAAACCATGCGAAATATATTCAAAGGTCAATTAATGAAGACAACTTTTGTAATAGGAAATTGTAACAGCGTTACATGTTGCCACATCACATCAGTTTCATCAGTACATGTTGTACAGTGGTGACATCCATCACATCACCTTTGGTTGTTTGTTTGTTGTTTAACGCCACACTCAGCAATATGCTAACAACATGGAAGCGGTCTTGTAAATAACCAAGTCCGGCTATGATGACAAACAACCAACAAACTCACTGAGTCTGTCCACCCGATCCATTTGGTCGCATCTTACGACCAGAATTGGTTGCTGGGGACGTATTCTTACCCCGAGTCCTCAAGCGAGTGAGTGAGTATGGTTTTACGCCGCTTTTAGCAATATTCCAGCAAAATCACGGCGGGGGACACCAGAAATGTGCTTCACACATTGTACCCATGTCGAGAATCGAACCTGGGTCTTCGGCGTGACGAGCGAACGCTTTAACCACAAGGCTACCCGACCGCCCCCCCCCCCCCCCCCCCCCGAATCCTCAAGGGGCATATGATATATGATGTACACTCTGCTCTTCCATCCCTGCAACACCCTATATATATCACTACACTAGGAAAAAGTGATGTGATTTCAAATGCGAATTCGTGAAATTAAGAAAAGCCTGTACATTGATTATGATCTGATTAAAATCGACACGCCCCTTTCCTCTACAAATTTCTTGTTTTCAGTGGTACTATATTTATCTGCTTCATGTGTCCATCTTGCCAAAACTGGCATGCAAACGAATCTATGTCTTACCTTTCAATTTGTAATGTGGGCTAGGTGTTTTCCCTTCTCCTTCACAGATGTTGAGAGACCGGTCTTTGGGGCAGGTCCAGCTCCCATCACAGTTACACTCACAGAGGAACTCGAAACAGCCTCGCCGCATGTTGAAGTTGCTCTTTGACCCGACCACCTTGCCGTCTATCATGCAAGGTTTACACCTGGAGGAGATAGCAGACCCCGAGTGCTTGCACGTGTCAGTAGTACGGTTAGCTGGGCAACTCCATTCCCCACTACAGCCACAGAAGCAGCTGAACTCCCAGCACCCCTCCCTATAGCGGAATGGACTGCCCCCAGGGTAGGTTTCATTCTTTACTTCACATTGTTTGCATCCGTCGACTCTGTAATCAGGGGAGCGACATAGGTTGATGGTGTCCTGTGGTGGGCATTCCCATGTACCATTGCAGAAGCATTGACATTTGTATTGGGTACATCCTTCGCGGAATTTGAACTCGTTCTCAGGTATGTAAGTCTTGCTCTTGACAACACAGCTCTGGCAGGAGGTCTGTTTGTAAGCGATTCCGTTCCTAGTGTTGGAGTATCTGGTCTTGGGTGCCTGGCCTACCGGAACCTTAGTGGTGAAAACGGTTCCCCAACTCTGAGGAAGCCTGGTGGTGTATTTCTGGTTTTGGGTTGCCTGTTCACGTTCTCTTCTTTCCTTCTCTCTGTCCTCTTGACACACATCCACAGTATTTGCAGGTGGACAAACCCAGGTACCGTCACAGTTGCATGTGCATTTGTACTGCAAACAGCCTTCCTTTAACAAGAACTCAGAGTGAGGCGGATAATCCGTTCCCCTGACATCGCAAAGCTGACAAGAAGCTGTCCTCTGTCTCAGTTCGCCTCGGGGCCTGCCACAAATCTGTCTTGGCTTCTGTACTGGACAGTACCACTTCCCCGAGCACGTGCACGTACAGGTGTATTCTGAGCAGTCTTGAACCAGTTGGAAAGTAGAGTCACCGGGATATGTACTGCCCTTAAGAGAACACTTCTTGCAAGTCCCGGCATCATCTCCTTGTGGTTTTCTGCTAGGCTCCGTTGTATTGCAACCGGTGGAGAATTCCCCTGAACAGGTCCAGGACCCACTGCACTCGCAGCTACAATTGAACTGAACGCAGTCCTTGTTGATTTGAAACGTGGAGCCGCCACGGTGTTTTCGTCCTTCGACAGAACATTCGTTGCAACCGGGTTTGGGGTTCACAGCTACCTGTCCTACATGTCTGGTACGTTTACCAGGAGCGTATGGAGCCTTGACTTGGAACACTGCCGATCCATAAGCCATTCTACCAGGAGCGCCACCTTGGTTGCCATTAGTTCTAGCAGTTTCTACAGTCCTGGAACCCCCTGTGGCACCAGATGTTCTTACATTGTATATTGGTACACCGCCATGAAGACTACCAGCAGCGTCCGGACTCGACCTTGTTTGGCTGTATTGGGCGTATGAATACTGACTATTGACACCCCTTTGCGGAGCACCCATTCCTGGTTTTCCTTGTCCCCCTAATGCAGGATTTATAATCTGTTGATAAAAGTTCCTTTGCGCAGGATATGGTATAGCTCCTCCGGGTCTAAACTGACCTCCACCTGGTACTAAAAACTGTCTCATACCTCTAAGGACGTATTGCTGACCTCCACGCGTGACGATCTGACCAGGAGAAATGGGTCCCCCTAATGGTATGCTTCCTCTTAAGACATAGGGCCTTCCTCCTTGTGGGAACATGGGTCCGCCTGGAATCTGGAACTGGGTTCCATGAGACCGGATATGTTGTCCAGATCGTCCAGATCGTCCAACTTGTCCGACTTGTCCAGCTTGCCCGACTTGACCGACGCGCCTAGGTTGTCCACCTCTAAACTGATTTCTTCTTGTTACAGTATACTGCTCACTTCCTTGATTAAAGACTTGAGTTCCACTTCCAAACGTTTCACCAAGGTTTCCAGTGCTTGTGAATGTACCATCCCTCAGTAACCGTGACGCCTGTTTATTCCGACAAATGTCAACTCTGTTTTCTTCAGGACAACTGAATGACCCATTGCAGTAACAGTTGCACTCCTTCTGCACACAGCCCTCTCTGACAACGAAACCCATGTTGCCCGGGTAGACATATCCACTGATTTCACAGTTACCACAATTAGCAGGGCGTTCTCCAGCAGTACAAGCACTATCTTGTGTGACGTGGCAGCCATAGGATCCATCACATCTGCACTTGCACTTGTATCGGACACAGCCTCGTCTCATATCAAAGTTACTGTCTACAGTGTAGCTTTGCCCATCCACTTCACACTGCTTGCACCCGACAGTTGGTTCCCTTGATCCTGGACAGAAATTTGATGCCTTGTCGGCAGGACATTCCCAACGTCCATCACAGGCACATTTACACTTATACGAGATGCAGCCTCTCCGAAGGCGGAAGTCAGTGTCACCTGGATAGTTTCTGCCTTGCACAATACATCTCTGACAGCTGCTTTGCCCTATGCGTGACCCTCTCTGAGCTGCAGATTTTGCAGCACAAACATCGGAAGCATCATCTCTGTTGCAGCCCCATCTCCCATTACAACTGCATTGACAAGGGTAGACGTAACACCCCCTCTTCAGTTTGAAATTGGAGTTTGGATCATAATCATTACCCTCCACCATACATTTCTGACAGTTATCTAAGTTTTGTCTGGGTCTGGGTGTCCTCTGTCGCGTGGGGGGCGGGGTCGAACAGACGTTGACAGCAGTTTCTTCATCACACACAACTGTACCGTTACATGAACATTTGCAGTCCTTGACAACACAACCATTCGTGTGACGGAACTTAGCTCTCCCTGGATATGTTTTCCCATCTGATAATTGACAGCTTCTGCATCCACCAGGAATCTCACCACGGCAGACGTTTCTAGCATCAGCTCCCGGACAGTTCCAGCTTCCATCACAGTTACAGTGGCAGCTGTAGTGAATACAGTCCCTCCTCATCTGAAAGTCAGATTCACCTCTGTAGAATTCCGTTTCAGACAGTTTGCAACTTTTGCATCCACCGGGAACTTCTCCTTTACAAACATCCCTAGCTTTCTCCCCTGGGCAGCTCCAACTTCCGTCACAGTTGCAACGGCATTTGTAATGAATACACTCTTTTCTCATATCAAAGACTGAATCTCCTGGGTAGAATTCTTCATCAGAAACCTGGCAGCTCTTGCAGCCTCCTGGTCGTTCCCCCCTGCAGATGTTCCTCGCGAGCACCCCAGGGCAGTCCCAGCTTCCATCACACTTACATGAACACTCGTAACTGATGCATTTCTTCCTTAACTGGAAGGTAGAATTACCAGGGTAAGTGTCCGTCTCTGATACCTGACACTGACTGCATTTGCCAGGCTGCTCAGTCGGGTCACAGATATTCTTTACTCTATCCCCAGAGCAGTTCCATGATCCGTTACAATTACAAAAGCAGGTGTACTCAAGACACGCTTTTTCATGGGTGAAATAAGTGTTACCTTCGAAGAATTCGCCTCGTATTTCACATTCTCCACATCCCTTCTGACAGATGTCCCTTGTTCTGTCAGGAGGACAGGACCAGGACCCATTGCAGTTGCAGTCACAGTTATACTCAAAGCATCCTTCTTCATACTTAAACCTAGAGTTCCCTGGATGGAAACTCCCATACACCTCACACTCTCCGCAACTGCCCTCTCCGATCTTCTTGACGCAGGTGTTCTCAGTTCTGTTGGCCGAACACTCCCACCTTCCATCACAGAAGCACTTACAGTTTTTGTGGAGGATGCAGCCATCCTGCAGATCAAAGTAGTTGTTGCCCTGGACAATCTTTCCCTTGGCGTCACAACTCTTGCAGCTGGATTCTTGCCGCCTCCTCTCCTTGTCCTCTTCCTGGTCACAGACGTTGATGGTGTAGTGAGATGGGCAGTCGTGGGAGCCATCGCAGTGGCAGATGCACCGGTACTTCTGGCAATTCTCTGTGTACTCAAACCTGGAATGACCACGGAACGTCTCGTTTCCAACCTGACAATCAGTGCAACCTGAAAAACAAAGAACAATTCAACGTCTGGACTGAAATGCCGTGAGTGTGTGAATCTAACGGTGTAGTCAGCAATATTCCTGCAACATCACGACGACCTGTAAATAATCGCAACTTTCCACACTACGGGGTACGATGATACGTAATCAGCCAAGTTACAGATCCAGACCATCCAATACCCATATCCTGACGTACCACAAGTATATTGTTCTCGACCAATCCTGCCTCTAAATCCGTACATGTTACAGCACATGGGTATAACGCATTTAGTTTGGAACAGCCCTTAAACGTTTAAATCACATCAGTGACTTGGAATGACATCAGATGAACGTCTACATCTACAGAAGACTAGTTATCTTCAAATTTAACGTGGAACACACTAAATGACAGGAAAGAGCATTGTCTAAACCATTTCAAGAATAATCTAAAGTGTCATATTCGCATGGGAATCCAGGGTCACCCTGGCCTCGGACCGCTTCTTCATACATCGAGCTGCGGTAGGCATGGTCAGAATACGTAATGTGGTACATGGGAATCAGGTCTACTATCATAGATTTGTAACCTGCTAAAGAAATTTAAAAAAACCCTACCCAGGCACCGTTGGATAAAGTCATGAGAAACAATAATGATTCATGAACTGGTCTAAGCAAAACGCCGATGCTTTAGTTGACAGGGTCTTCGTGCAAGCATCTTCCCGAGGCAAGTGACTTTTAAAGTCCAGTTTCCACGCTTGCCGAACTAGGCTGGTATTATGGAGTTTGGCTGGACTAACGAGTGTATGCATAGTCTAATCAAAATCGCGTAACGAAATCGAAATCCGGTTTGTAAACTGTTGTTCAGATTTCGGTCGATTGCAAGATTTGCAAATGGATGTGCACCGCCAATCCGGCGTCAGCAGATATTTTCAAAATGTTTTCATGTTTTTAATCAAGGTGCTCACATGATTTGATGCACTTTGCGATGTAAGACCCGTTTTGTCACAATATAGATCTTGATTATTCAATAGATTATCTTGTCTGGGCGCCGCAATTTTGTTTGAAGCAAATGGAAGTCATACAAGAGTGATTGGCCAATAGGAGAGGCATAGAAGGGACACAACTCGTAATAAGCACTGGTGGCGCTACGATCGAGCCCAGAACTTCCAGTCTATTTCGGCAAGGGTGGAAACTGGACATTTATATTCGTGCAAGCGGTGTCATGTACGTCCTGAAAAACACCCACCATGCTGAATTACAAACATGATCACGACACGAGCAGGTGCTATTGCATGCATATAACCGGCATCTGTCCGCGTATGGCTGACGAATGAATCATCTCTCAACTAATTTCAAACAAAAGACGGAAAGGTGAAGGCTGCAATTGAATCGTTTCCAGTATTTTCTTCAGTAAATCAAATAAATAAATAGGAATACCAAAGAAGCAAAAACAACCCTGTAAAGTTTACTTCCAAAGCAATACTGAAATGCAACTGTGCACAAGTGAGAACCATATGTTCAAACTGTGAAGCGCATTTTTCTTGGCTGATAGGCTATGACGCAACTTTAAACTGCGACTGCGCATCTGCTAGTGTGTGTGTGTGTGTGTGTGTGTGTGTGTGTGTGTGTGTGTGTGTGTGTGTGTGTGTGTGTGTGTGTTTGTGTGTGTGTGTGTGTTCTACATCTCAGTGGACAAATTTAGGGATATATGAACCTTGTAATACTATTATTCGGTAGAATCCCTAACGAAGTTTGGTATCCATACCTTTAATTTCAAATGGAGGTAATTATAATTGTATATCTGCATGGTTCACAAATTAAGAAATACTGTCGGCAGTGGTACTACAGTCGGAGTGAGGCACACTTAGATTAAATGTGTTCTACCGTTTTATCAAACCCATCATTAGTGTTTCTTGTTCGACTGTTTGTTTTTAAAAAGTTTGGACAATATAGCGCTTATGCTTACTAGTCTTACATGTCATTCTGATTTATTGTTATTCAAACAGTTTATAACATATTCCTTCCTACAAACTTAATTAATGCTGAGAAGAACTCGAACCCCAAACGGAATACGCTTAAATGTTTGTTTGATGTTTGCCGCAGTCGGCAGTATTATAGCTGCATCACGGCTGCCTGTAACAGTCAAGTCTCGACAAGACAAACCAGTGGTTGATATGATGGGCAACGTCCTACGCTGAACGATTATACCAATCAACCAGCGTATGACCACTAGATCTATTTGGTCGCCTAATTCGACCAGCACGGGTTACTTGGGGCCACGATTATTTACATATCGCTGTCATATAGCTGGAATATTGCTGAGTGCGGCGTTAAACAACAAACAAACAAACAAACAAATAACATGTGGGGGACCTATCGGAAGGAATTTCAGTAATGCTCACTTCACCAAACACAGTAGTTTTTAACAGTCGTGTGATGAAAAGATATGACAACATCCGTGTGGGAACATATCCCAGCATGTCAACTATGTGCAAGGCGAACTTTGCATACTTCCATAATTAGCGTCTTGGTAACATGTATATGAAAAACTAACAGTGCTAACAAGTAAACTATTTGCACAGTCACAATGCTGGGAAAGGTCCATTGTTTTTTAATTCCGCTCGTCAGTTTGCAGCCTGCACGGTAGGTCTATTCTTTCTGGAACTTCTCACACAAGGGCGGGTAATCGTAAATATGTCTCAAGAGAATGTCATAGGGCAAGTAAGGCTGTATGCATCTCCCCAAGGCAAGGGCGTTAACTGACTACAAAAGTCCAGTTTCCACCCTTGCTGAACTAGGCTGGGATTTCCAGGCTCGATCCTAGCGCCACCAGTGGCTATTACGAGTGATGTCCCTTCTATGTCTCTCCTATTGATCAATCAGATACCATCTCACATATTACTTGCATTTGCTTCAAACAAAATGGCGGCGCCCATTCAAGACAATCCGATCGATAATCAGAATCTATATTGGAATAAAACGGGTCTTACCCCGCGACGTGCATCAAATCAGGTGAACACCTTGATTAATAACATGAAAATAGTTCGAAAATATCTGCCGACGCTCAGTTGACAGTACACATACTTTGCAAAGCCTTCAGTCGACCGAAATGTGCAGTTGAAATCCATATTGTTCTCGAACCTGATGTCTGGTTCGTTACGCGATTTTGAATGGACTATGCATACACTCGTTAGTCCAGCCAAACTGAAAACAGTAATTCCAGCCTAGTTCAGCAAGGGTGGAAACTGGCCTTTTATAGTCAGTTAACAGTAATAAGTCGCTTGTATCCTGATGCTTATCAGAAGAGGTAACAAGGATGAGGAACCAGTGAAGATCCACTGTGTGTCTGGACCAGACCCGAATATTAACACACTATCGCTTCTTGTGGGGTTAAACTCATTCATTCAGGACAAGAAAATAATCTCGCTATAGCATTCACTGTTTGTTACCCAAAAGACGCGAAATATACTTAATCACCCCCGCCACGAAGTGAGAGGGTATAGGAATAGGTCCTGTAGCAGACCTTGTTCTGGAATTTTGCAGGATCATATCTGACATACTGGATAATGCGTGACGAACCTTTCTAAAATACAGACAAACGGTTCGCCATGGTATCAAGAAGCTAACGAAAGCTATTCCTCAAAACAGTATATAACAGAGATCATGATTGTAAGTAACTACGTCTGTGTCTGTTTTGAAATCGCAGTAGGTATATTTCCTCATTCTATGTTATTCTTTAATGCATAGGATCTTGTAAGTGATGGGCGGTGGGGTTGGTGAGGGGCTAGTGGTTTAAGCGTTCGCCCACTCACTCTTATAAGTGAATCTTCACACATCAAATGGATCTAGCAATTGAAGAAGTGAAGAATTACTTACGATTGCTGACTACATTGCCACGTCGTGCCCCAGATGATCTTGCGGCAGGCGTTGACCTTGGGCTCTGAGTCACGGTAGTTTGACGTCTTGTTTCAGCTGAAACCTGTCGCGCCTCGAGTTCTCGCTGTCTCTGAACTCTTTCTTCCTCAATCCTCTCCTGCCGCTCTCTAGCAGCAATCGTCCTCTGTTCTTCAGCTCTTAGTCTCTCTTGTATGAGACGTCTCTCCTCCTCCTCCCGTCGCTCCTCCGCACCATCTTGGCGGTCCACCAGTTGCCGCCTAGCTTGCACCTGTATGATAACATTACCTCCAGCATGTTAGAAAGAAGGGCACAAGAACAAAACATGCACAACCAACCAAAATCCAATTATCCTTCTTGGGTTTGAGTACGCAGACTAGGATGGGTGGCCATTTAGTCCAAGAACATTTGTGAACTAGATTTTGAGAGCGTGGGGACGTCAGAGCAGTACATGTTACCGTGACAACCGATTGTTATGCCAGACGAAACAAATAAGGATCAGGAGGTTATAGTATGGGTTTCTGACTGCGGGGTAACACAGGATGCTATCACTCATTAATTAAGTTCAATAATAAAGTAGCTCATAATATTTTTGGCCGAAAAGAATTATAAATACTAAAAGCGTCACAAAACCATACTCATTACGATAAACAGCGAGGGGAGGGATGTTCAATACATTAACATTGAATGGACGGTGCTTCCCACCTTAATGCTTTCATAAGTGAATCTAAGAGTCATGTTCCTGTTGAGAGTTGTTTTAGCATCCTTACCCTAGCTTCTTCCCTCCTTCTCTCCTCTTCCAAACGCATTCTTTCCTCTTCCTCTCTTTCCCGTCTAAGCTCTTCTCCCTCCCGTCTACGCTCTTCCACAAGCCTTCTTCTCTCTTCTTCCACTTGTCTTCTTCTCCCTTCCTCAGTTTGTCTTCTTCTTTCTTCTTCAACCTGCCTCCTTTCTTCTTCAGCTTGTCTTCTCTCTTCCTCCGTTTGTCTTCTCTCTTCCCCACCTTTTATCCTTTCTTCATCAACTTGTCTTCTTCTCTCTTCCTCAGTATGTCTTCTTCTCTCTTCTTCAGCCTGCCTCCTTTCTTCCTCAGCTTGTCTTCTCTCTTCCTCTGCCTGTCTTCTCCTCTCTTCCTCCACCTGCCGTCTAGCTGCTGCCAGAGTACCACCGGTCCCTACACTGTACCCACCTCCAGTTCTCCTCCCTGCTTCACGCTGGCTGTTGAGATGCTGAATTCTCTGCTCATCTGTGTACTCCAACTTAAACAACAAGGACTTTCCATCACTCTTTTTGATCAGTTGTGACCCAGCACGGGTACCTCCTTGAACCCGACTTCCAGAGCTGTAGGACTGACTTCTGGAAGCGCCTTGACCTTGGCCCCCAGTTCTGTCGGATGGATTTCTGGTAGCACCTTGAACTTGTGAGCTGTGAGATTTCCCCATGGAACCGCCTTGAGTTTGGCCTTCAGAACTGTATGATTGGCTTCTTGAACTACCTTGACTCCCCGAGCTGTAAGATTTCCCCATGGAACCGCCTTGAGTTTGTCCTCTAGAACTGTAAGATTTCCGCATAGAACCGCCTTGAATTTGGCCTTCAGAACTACCTTGACTGCCTGAGCTGTAGGATAGACCCGTTGAACCACCTTGAAAACCAGATCTGGGTTTCATTGATCCAGAAGAGCTATAGGATTGACTTCTGAAACCTCCTTGACCGTCTTCGCCATTAGCCTTAAGGCCCATGGAACGGCCATGGACCTGGCCTTTCCCGACGTAACTGGACTTTCTAGAAGAGTTGTGGGACCTGCTGCTGGAACTGCCTCCACTGCTGTATGATGAATAGGAATGACTGGACTGCTTCATCTCATACTGGGACTGGGACTGGGACTGGGACTTCAGACCCATACCAGACTGTGATTGGCGACTCATACTGGCGTGTGTCTGCACACCCGTACCATTTGTTTGGCTAGGATCCTGAATCTGAACACTGGCAGCATCGTAGACTTTGCCTGTTTCCTGTATCCGGACATAGCCATCATGACCCTTACTGGCGCCCCGGGTACGGTAACTTGCACTACCTGAAACCACACAGTGATCTTGATCTACTGGAAATAACTCAACCAACAGACATTATATTTGATACCGAACTCACAGGGCACTTCAATAATGGACACAACATATAATGAAACATAAAATTATTCATTTGCCAATTTAAAGGAGTAAATAATGATTAATTTTCAAATACAAGCATGAGCATGGCCCCTATAAACCTTCTTGCAAACGTGTTCTCTCTCAAATGTCACCAAAATACCATGCGTCATGTTACCATGATGCCTTTAAGTGCCAGCAAGGTACTCCGGAGTGGATTTCCATCCTTGGTACATATACAATGCATTCACGAAGTTCTGACCAACCACAATGCTTAGTTTAATAAGCAAATACTAAGTGTACCTCCAGTTTGGTCGACGATACAAGCAACAGCCAGGGCAGCCAGAAGCTGAAAGAAAATAAGATATTGAAAATATAAACGTAACATGTCGGATATAATAGTGACGTCGTCCAATTGTTCTTTCATTATTTGATAGTAACAATGATAACTATAGAGAAAACACGTGTGATTCTTAGTAATTTAAGAAGGACACAACACTGAATCATAAGATTTATGCACTTGAACTGAACTCGGAATATACGAGATGCCACGCTACATGAATAGAAGAATACGTTCTAAAACTTCTCTCCAGTTACATTTTGTTCAGTGGTCATTGTATGCAGATAGCAGGGTGAGGTCATCGGACAGCTTGCAGGTTGGTAGAGTAAGAGACGTCAATAACATTACTGTATTATTGCCAACGGACCACGTGCTCCTTGACAATTCAGAACTCCAAATTTATCAGAAACAATAATAGATATTTAACTTGTAAGGGCGATGCCTGCGTGACCATGGATCGTGTAATTAAATGTGATGGTGCAAGAAAACAAAAATATGCTAAAAAAAAGAGGTTTGTTGGGCTTTCGAGCTTTCATTTTAGCATTATCAGCTGCTTATTAACGAAATATAATTAAAAATACGTTTTCACCGACTTGATTGATGCATGTCATCGTATCCCAATTACGTAGATCAGTGCTCATGATGTCAATAACTGGATTACCTGGTCCAGACTCGATTATTTACAGACCGCCGTCATATATCGGGAATATTACTGAATGCGGTGATAATTAACAACAACAATAACAACAAATTATGATGTCAATCCCTGGATTGTCTTGTCCAGACTCAATTATTTACAGACCGCCGTCATATAGCTGGAATATTGCTGATACAACAAAAAAAGAAACAAAGAAACAAAGTAAAACATTTTTGTAGTTACTTTCGCCTTTTGTATATATCCTGTGATGCCTTCTCGAGGTACTTTACCTTTAGTTTCAAACATTAGTGTCGTTTGTTTTTTTAGAGTAAATTGTTATGCATAACATGCCGGACACACATCATCTTCCCAAGGCGACCCGTGAAGATCCGGAGTAGAAAAGATCTTCAGCAACCCATGGTTGCCGCAATAGGCTACTATGTTTGTCGAAAGATACGACTCACGGGATCGGGTGGTCAGGCTCGCTGACTTGGTTGATGCATGTCATCGTATCCCAATTGGGTGTATCGATGCTCATGATGTTAATCTCTGGATTGTCTGGTTCAGACTCGATTATTTACAGACTGCCATCATATAGCTGGAATATTGCTGAGTGCGGCGTTAAACAACAAACAAACAAACAAATCTTCCCGAGGCAAGGGAGTTAACTGACTACAAAAGACCAATTTCCATCTTTGTCGAACTAGAATGGAATTTCTGGCCTCGATCGTAGCGCCACCAGTAGCTATAACAAATTATGTCCCTTCTATGTCCCTCCTATTGACCAGATTCCATCTCTTACATCACTTGTATTTGCTTCCAACAAAATGGCGGCGCCCATTCAAGACGATCTGATCAAAATCTATATTGTTATAAAACGGGTGTTACTTCGTGAAGTGCATCAAATAAAGTGAGCACCATAATAAAAAACATGAAAAGATTTGGAAAATATCTGTTGACGCTTTGCAAATCCTGCAATCAACCGAAATATGCACGTCAGTTAACGAACCGGATGTCGATTTAATTACGCGATTTTTGATGGACTATATATAGACTCGTTAGTCCAGCCAAGGTACAACTCAAAATTCCAGCCTAGTTCGGCAAGGGTGGAAACTGGACTTTTATAGTCAGTTAACATTCTTGCCTCGGGAAGATGGACACACAGTTGATATTCATTATTCGGAGGAAATTTGATTTTAAGATTAATAGCAGTATGTCCAATCTTCATGTGATTTTATATAGTGACGCAGTACGGGATTCAGATAACGTTGTCTAAAGTGCACATACCCACGTTACACTCGGCTTATCATATAGGATATTTCCGCAGTTCCATCTGGCCCGCTCTCGGATCTGAGTAGTCTCCTTGCAATTGTTCCCTTCAGGATAGCGGCACTTGGAGAGAGGTCATTGAACTGAGAGTACTTACACATGAATCCTAAATGTATGTCCCGATAAACGCAAGGCACACGTGTAGGCGATAATAAGAAGGGAACAATTAAGGGAAGGCACTACCCTGTGTGTATACTCTACCAGTGGGACCCGTGAAGATCCGTGTTAGAATAGGTCTTCAGCTACCCATGTTAGTCATAAGAGGCAACCATGCTTGTCGTAAGAGACGATTAACGAGATCGGGTGGTCAGGCTCGCTGACTTTGTTGATGCATGTCAACCTGTCTCTATTGCGTAGATCGACGCTCATGATGTCAATCACTGGATTGTCTGGTCGAGGCTAGATTATTTACAGACCACCGTCATAGAGATGGAATATCGCGGCGTTAAAACAACAAAGAAACAAACTAACAGCGGGATTCGTTATCCTTTCCAATATTGAGAATAGAACAAGGACCGCCTTGCCGCAAAGCAACACATCTCCCTCTGGACCACCCATCCATTTACTCTCAATAGTTAGGTGCTTGGCGACACTTAAAATTTTTTAAGGGTCCGACCAACCGAAGCCAAGAGCCATAAAATCAAATCATATAACAAATATAATTTCTCCTTTTTAAAAAATCTTTGGTGGCCTAGAAAACTAATAAGTTGCAAGAAAATATCGAACAAAAATACATATTTACTTATTTAGTAAAGGATAACAAGTCTCTGACCATTGAAAAACCCTAAAATGTGAATAAAGACTTCACTTAAATAAAGTAAATACATTACGTTCCTGCAAACTTACACTACATCCGGCGCTTTAAACATTTTTGTTTACCATAAACTGACCTATCCAGAATACCCAGCTGTTCCTGAAGAAATTTATCGATCTTCACTTTTATTTCGATATACAGAGCAATTAGTTGGTAAACACTCCGATACAAAGTGTAACCATACTTGACTATACATACTTGATAAAGAGCGAAACCATACAACTAAATACCGACTTAATCACAAATGAATATTAGTTAAAGTATAGGCACAGGACTAGAAGATCGACTATGTGAACAAATGTGAGACAATAACAAGCCAATTAATACAGCATTTATTTCATTTACCATATACATGTATAAAAAACCCAAACTATTTTGTCTGCAGAATATGTGGTTTCTTACTATAAAAGAACCATTTCATTCACTGAGGATCGCAATCAATTTGAGGAAGTTTCGATAACTATGAAAAACCAATTCTTCTTTAACAGAGGCAGTCATTGAAGATATTGTGTAATTTGAACGTCAGATTAAAAGAAATGATTATGGAGACCTCACATCTAGCATCACGAGAGCCAAGCCAGCATCCCCGGCGGCTCAACTTGCCTCCAGCATGTGGCCAACATACAGAACGCATAACAACCATATGCTCAACCTTTGCTCGGAAGTGGCAACATTGTATCTCGTTTTGCGTTTGTTTATTTTTATTTGAGGCAAAATAAATAGCCCATTGCTGGAGATTAGCTAATGATTAAAAACATAAGTGTTTCAACGACACACCTAAAATAAAAAACTACCAGATGTAATGTACAAGTGGTATTAAGTTTATATGTGAAACTATTCGTGCAATGCAGCCCGTTGAACTGATAGTATACCTGGCAGGTTGTAGATCCTAAGGTATGCGTTAGATAGTTGCAAATACTTACTTACTGAGCTTATTCCAACTATAATTATTTGCAGCTGTAATTCCCGGCAGAATACGTATTCAATGCCAGTGGTATATTCGGGCACATTCAGGGATCGGTATGACGAGGTGGCCAAGCATGAATAGTACTAAACAAATAGTACGGTAGTACTTAGGGAAATACTATGTGTCATGTCGATGTGGGGTCGTTTGGACTCGAACGCCGAGATATAACTGAAATAATAATGTTAAAAGTTGTGTTAAACCCAACTCACTCCTCACTTAGTACAGACTCAATAAGTCGCGTTTCCGTTGTTGCTTGGGTTGGGTTTGTTGTTTAACGCCGCACTCAGCAATATTCCAGCTATATGACGGCGGTCTGTAAATAATCGAGTCTGGACAAGACAATCCAGTGATTGACATCATGATCATCGATCCACGCAATTGGGATACGATGAGGCGACTAACAGGATCGGGTGGCCAGGCTCGCTGACTTGGTTGACACATGCAATCTTATCCCAATTGGTAGATCGATGCTCAAGATGTCACTGATCATCACTGGATTGTCTGCTCCAGACACAATTATTTACAGACCACCCTCATATCGCTGAGTGCGGCGTGAAACAACAAACAAACGAACACTCTTCCGCCTATTACGTTCACTGTACACCGAAAACGAATGTGAGACCTATACCACTGGGTTCCGAGGATGGTCGTCGCTCGACTCACATCGACAAAAAATCACATCCTGAAAAGTCGTGCACAGAATGTAAAGTATGCAGATGTTGACATGCTGACTGTTTTCAAGTGGTCCCGTGGCCAGCTTTCAGAACGACGCAGTTTGCTCTAAGTATTACCACAATGTCTACACGGAGCAGCTGTACAACATGTTAGGAATAGAAACCAATATTTGCATATCGTTAAGGTACGCATGCGAGAACAATTATGTTTGTACTTATAAAAAATAAGTGTTTATTCCTCCTATTTCAAGCTTTAGCCTAAACGTTAACATTCGAACAAACTTTTTGGGTAGAGTTTCCCGAAATACTCACTATCGAATGGCTATGTTTGTTTGCATTTGTTCTTGTGATTAACCTCAAAGCAAATATGTTTTGTCACGAAATCCGTTTGGGGTAATCACAAGCTTGACTTAACATGCAACGCGATAGCCCTCATGGTAGAGGCAAGCCGGAACAATTTGTTAATTCTTCGTGCTGTGACAATTGCCTCTATCATACCAGCGAGTGCAGACCTAGTGTTTAGGTCAGAAAGGTTTTTTTCAGCTCTGTTGAAGAACAAAGCAACCTTTGCGTTGAATCTATGACGTTGTTAAGGTCAACCTTAATATTACTTTCCTTAAAGAACCACGCAATATATGAACAATATGTCCATAGACACACATGGCAGACACGTAGGCAAAGACGACGCAATTTGCTGAGCAGAGCAACTGAGCAGTTGCGTCCCTTAGCCGACTCAGGATCCGCTGTTCGCGGTTTCGAATCCCAGATTTGCCTTGATAATGAACCTTGTTGTGCTACCTGGACACATAATCAGGGCAAATCTTGGATTCGAACTCGCGATAATCGGTTTCTGGGAGGCCAAATGACGCAACTCTGCACAAAGGATTGCAGAGCTCAAGACTTCAATCATCTTGGCGAATACGTATGTGTGGTGTGGCGTCTTTCTGATACCCTTATTCTACCCACCCTTATCCATCAGACCATATTTATGCTGCAGGTCTGGTTACTGCAACTGACTGCCCGTATCAAGCTGTCATAACGACACCAATATGACAGCACTGGCAGTCAGATTCACTTCTTCACGGGCCCCCAGATTTCTCCATTACGGTTCTGATTTTGTTTGTTTGTTGTTTAATGCCGCACTTAGCAATATTCCAGCTATATGACAGCGGTATGTAAATAATCGAGTCTGGACCATTCAGTCCAGTGATTAACATCATGAGCATCGATCTACGCAAATTGGATACGATGACATGCATCAACCAAGTCAGCGAGCCTGACCACCCGATCCCGTTTCGTCGCCTCTTACGACACAAATAGTCGCCTTCAACGGCAAGCATGGGTTGCTGAAGACCTATTCTAACCCGGATCATCAAGGGTTAGAGCCTTCCGCCTATTGGAGCATCCTTTTGATCTCGGGGGAATAAATGAATAGTTTGTTAAGAAATATGCTCAAAATGAATAGTTTGTTGGAAGTGGTGTTTTATGGAAACTACTCAAACGTCATTTTTTTGGGTGTCAATATAGAAAATGAATGCATGCTGCTAACGCACATGTCACTAGTTATCACCTTTAAATCCCCAACCAAGAGTATTGTAGAGGATAATGGGGTAATCCGGCTGGAAACATAACTGCTTCCAGATTTCAATTGACTTCGCTGTAGGTTTTCCTTTCTGAGGAATGATAATCATTCATTTATCGTAAATTGAAGTATGAGCGCCTTTCTTCCGAACTACAGTTATACGCCTCTCCCAATAATTCCAAAGCATCACGTATGTTTTGTTACTCCTTAATACGTAGAAAATTAATTGTATTTAGTAAGAGATTATTTTGATAAATAACTGAGAATCTGCTGAAATTCTCAACGATGCTTTTGGCCGCTGATATTTAAATAGCTTCTAAAGTTATGCTACGTTGTGCCTTCTCTTAGAAAGATATTTAGCATTCGCCAACTTTAAGAGCTTTCACAGAAAATGAAACATTTATTCATTTTTCTTCAACAAGAATAATGGATTTATTTCACCAACAGAAACGAGCACTGTCCTCATTTTCAGTATATAAGTCCAACTTGGCCTCATGAAAACATAAAAAAAACTAAATAGAAATCCCAAATCATCAAAAGGCACCAGCTCAGCACTTTGCTGATTAATACAGCAAGTTTCAACAAGACATATTCAACTGTTTGGGAGTTAGTTTTGCTCCGGATTCGGAATACGGTCGTAGGACAGAAGGACGGACTAACCGGGGTATAATACGTGATCATACATACGGGGTGAACGAGGTTTCTAGTCGAAATGTACAACTATAAACATACAAATAATTCCTTCGCGAAATGATGAGGATTGAAATAACCAAGTCCAGCTTAACGAATAGATTTACAGTAGCAAATAGCGGCATAAGCCTCCAAGTTGTCTGGAGAGAACACTTTAGTGATTTGTAGAATTATATAACACAACGATTTTATGTTTCGATATTTTTAACTCCTGTTACACTCACTGACAGCGTGCACGTAATACAATTACGTTCAGACAGAGGAAGCAAAGAATTTGAAACGTGGCTATAACACTAACCACGTTCCCTGCTGTCAAAATGACAAAAGAAATAAACGAAATACTTGATATTTCAGCTTGTCAGCACTCATAATAACAATCGGTTGTTGTTTCTACTGCCTGCGTGGCGAGTGTTATATTCTACACAAGTGCTGCTACAGGCGCCCGACACCTGTAGCCATGATCTATCAGCAGAGTGAAAAAAATCCCCCTTTATTTCTGTCCTTGAACGTAATTTGTACAGCTTGAGAGCAGTGGCGGTTGTACGCGTGGAAACCGATAACATAAATGAAGTTAGCATATTGTCGCTTTGTTGTATATACTTCGACTGGGTTTGTTGAACGTTTGTGGAGCTCCCGGATTACAAGGCTATAGCATTCACAGTTACGTCAGGTGTAGCGTATGAGTCATTAGATCTTGATCATGAATTGGGTGTATCATTTTGTTGTTGTTGTTGTTGTTGTTGTTGTTTAACGCCGCTCTCAGTCTGGACCAGACAATCCAGTGATTGACAACATGAACATCGATCCACGCAAATGGGATCAATGACATGCATCAACCAAGTCAGCGAGCCTGACCACCCGAGCCCGTTAGTCGCATCTTACGACAAGCATAGTCGTCTTTTACGGCAAGCATGGGTTGCTGAAGACCTATTCTATCCCGGAGCTTCACGGGCCATTGGGTGTGAGGCACAATGTATAACTACATAATAATGCATGTACAAGTTACTGTATCCGTGCATATTCAGCAAGCTCTAAATTGTCAATGTTTCAAATAATAACTGTTGAAACAAACTTAATATTTACATAAGAAATATAAGCATACACAGCTTTGGAAAAAAAATATAATTCAATGTATGTTATCCATTTTACCAAATACTATGCAGCAAATGTCAATTAATTATAAATATTTCAAATAATCATTTATCATGTTTGGTTACAAATTTCATTCAATTCTTTGATTTTATTGCGTAAATTGATTTCATCAAAAATCGTTTGGTTGTTTTTGAAATATGTATATTTCGCATTCATTCGCATTTACTGATATGAATATATATGTGCAAAACACGACAGCAACAATGTCAACTCATAAAAGTGCATTCATAAAAAAACATATGGTTTACAAAATAAAAAAAACAAGCATAGAAAATACGTGTACCTGCCGGAGGGCTTTCATCTGTCCAGCCATCACGTGGACAGTCCAGTTCCAAGATGTCACCACTGTCCACCACAACAACTGACTGAAGGCGACAGATATGTCCAATGTAAGTTGGCGATCTCGCGGTTTCCGAACCACAATCCAAACTTCTGTCTGTAGGTTTGGCGATAACCCGCAGACTTCCGAAGATACTTCTGATAGTTCCGGAACCACTAGGAAATCACGGCCCAAATGTCTCACGCACTGCTTGTTGTGAACGGCTGGGGCCGGGGCAAGCTGCAATAGTTACATACATCCAACATGGGCTTTCTCTAAACTGCCACGATGTATCATGGCATATAAAATGTTAAAGATGTTGCTCGTGTGCTTTCTTGTCTCGAGGGAAATAACTAAGCGGTCACTTATTTCGGATGTAGAACTGCACAGAATTATCGGATGGAACACTTGTACTACAGACTCGTTCATTCAGTGAACAAGTACAATATTGCTATTTGCCACATTGTGAGCGATTTTAATTATTAATTCAGCAATGAACAAATAATTAAATCGTTTGCAATAATATTTAAGATGAGGACAGATACTCATTTAATTATGAAATAATAATCTTTAAATGAATGTCGACAAAATTATTAAAATCAAAGCTGTCAGAGCACCACCGGTCGCTCCAATCTGAGCCAAATTTGGGGGGTCTCCCTTTCGTCAATTCACAAAGTTTGATTTTTTATCTCATACTGTTAAATGAGCTAAAATTAACTACTTTTATTTTTCTCCCACAACGAACAAACCAAACAGAATCTGATAACCTTTCAAGGATGTAATTGAGGATACTGTTACATCAGTCACAACATTTACCGACGGTAATCAACAATCTGTGGAGGGAAGTCGGCCAACTTCACCACTATAGGAACTGCACCCAGTTCCCCTGGTGAATCTGTAGTATCTGTATTACCTCGGATATATTCTCTCACGTTCCGCAGCGTAACTTCACAGCTTGCGCTTCCTCAGAAGAAACACAAGACTGTTTTTATAGCTCTCCTCCTAGACTTGGTCCTGTTCTCATATCACGGCGTTTAATATTGGAGCGTGTATATGCGCAGTTTGCTGACTGGAACGTGAGTGGGTTTAAAACGTACGCCCCTTTAGTAATTTTCATACTTCACACAGAGCCCCATTAAAATTTCTTGAAAACAATGATGTGAAGAAGTTCCTGATTTGCAAAACTACCAGACGGGTTGAATCCAAACGTGCAAGATCGGAACCGAAAATCTCTTAGAAGGCGGAACCGGAACTGATTTGGTATGCTAAGGAATTTGTTAAAAGCAAGGGACGGTGATGAGAAACAATATGTAAAATGTGGCCTTATGTAAGCATGTGTGGACCTTTTGCGACGGGAAACTGCTTAACCGTTACATCAAACTGTGTTGTTGAACTTCTTTAAACCGGAGTAAGTTTATATTACTGCTACAAATTACAGTTTTATTGGAATATTTTGAGTGGGGGAGTTGATGTTTAACGCGGCAGTTAACAACATTCCTGGTATATTACAGCGACCGGAAATAATCAATTCTTGGCCAAAACAGTGGCTGATATTATGAGTAACATAACGCACTCAATCTCGTCATCAAGAGAGATCCATTTTAGTCACCGCATGCGATGAGTTTAAGCTAATTGGAACCAATTCTATCCCGGAATCTGAACGGGGTTTACTGGAATAAAGACACGCGAAATATTTTTATTCCGCTAAGTGTTCCAAAAATAGTCGGGACAAGCTGGTTTTTCGGATTTATGTGGATGAAAGCCCACATGGAAATTCCAGGGCAGATAAGCTTCAAACATTCCATTCGTTTCAAAAGCGCCCACTAATGAGGATTAGGTGGTTAGAATGTCTGCCCTGGCTGATTGTGTCATCGTCCCAGAAGCTGTGGATCGTTGCTGTGGTTGGCCTGTTCTCGAGAGTAAGTGAGTGAGTTGGGTCTTACTCCACTTTTAACAGTATTCCAGTTATATCACGGCGTGGCAGCTTAATTTAGGAGGAAAGCCCGAAGGGATGCAGGTCTCAGACGTTTACTACTACCGCGAAACCCACAAGCACGGGTATGGTGCTAAGAAACCTAGAAACATAATCAAGGCGAACATCTGAGCGAGTACTTTTACGCCGCTTTAAACGACGCTCTGTTAATAAGAGTGGGCAAGCGGCAGCCGTACGATGACACTCACACAAAGTTAACACAATGGACACCGTGGGCTTATTCTGAGGCAGAATACACATGTAGGTTCAACGAATTAGGATATGGCTAACTCGACTGTAATGCCCTTACAGTGGAGATCAACATCATTGTCCACGTGTATAGAGACTTTCCGTTCTTAAAATGGTTATTTCAAGTTATATCCGGAGTTGAATGCAGGGGGAAAATGTGTCTCTACGTGGGCGACAGCCGTGTCCCCGTGTCATCACTGAATCTCGTCAGCAGCTGAAGCTTTGGGCCACACTGTGAATTCCGACATTCCGTTCCGTTGACGTCTCACTTCAATTGCGAGACAGCGATGGTGTGATTTGTTCCGCTGAGTACCTATAACTGCATGTAGTGCGTTCATTCTCTTTTCAGCTGTTCCCCGTGAATATGTACAGGTAAACTAACTTCTGAAGACGGCTCTTCTCAGCCCTGTCTCTGTAGTGCATGGACCTAGCCCAACATGTGTTTCGCTTTGCACGAATATTTGTTTAGTGCACGTGCACATCATGCGCTTTGGAGTATACTCCCGATGTCAACAGAATGAATTGCTCGATAAACACGGGATTTACGCCCTTTAACCGCGAGTTCAGCGAAGGTGCCTATGGAGCGGGTTCAGTGGTAGAATGAGTGACGATATATGTACGAGCCTTTGCTGTGCTGAGCTCCAAATTTAAGATATTATCCAATTAAAGGATAACTTCCATTTTGTGTTTAAGCCTGCATCTAAGGCTGGGAAAGACTTCCGCCCATATTCCCCCTCAAAAAGTCATATCCCCTATGCATTGCAGCTCAATCATTTCTATTATATACTGAACCGCAAAAGAAACGTCACCCCAAGTAACATTGCATGAAAAGTTGTCATTTAAATGTCTGGGTAAATTTTGTCAAAGTTTAAACAAATTAGCATTACCTTGTTCGGACAAAATGAAATTTGATGATGAAAAAAACAAAGCAGATATTACAATAAAACCGATCGCCAAAACGCATCACGGCAACGGCCATGGTACCCCGATGCACGTGAGTTTCGTGCAAATTAAGATGCACATGCGTTCCCCCATTTCTTGCCCTATAAAAATCCATTCATTCGTTATTGAATTGCTACCATATGCCAAGATTGACAAGAAATCAGCGACACCAAGCCCTTGGGCGATTGCAAGCTGGACAAAGTAGCCAATGCAAGTCCACGTAAGGACCATATACAGGCTCCAGCAACGGTACCAGACGACCAACACTACAGATGACCGACCACGTAGTGGAAGACCAAGGGTCACCACCTGACGTCAGGATCGTCAGATTGTACGACAGCATCTTCAATGTCGCTTTGTTACTGCTGCGGAAACTGCTCGACAGACTATGGGGACACACCAGCGACACATTAGTGTGGACACCGTGCGTCGACGACTGACGAGCAGACACCTCCGCTGTCACAGGCCACACAGAGGACCCATTCTGACACCACGTCTTCGCCGGGACCGTCTTCAGTGGGCAACACAGCACCAGCATTGACGCCACCAGCAGTGGAGAAGAGTCCTCTTCTCAGACGAGAGCCGTTACTGTATCTCAACAGCAGATGGCGGAGGGAGAGTCTGGCGACGCCGTAGGGAACGTTATTCGGATACTTGTGTTGTTGAGAGAGACTCGTGGGGTGGTCCGAGCATCATGGTGTGGGGTGGAATTGGTCTTACAAAGAGGGTCGGCCCTGTGGTCTGCCAGAACATCGGTCCATTGATCAAGTCTTGAGACCACACGCCATACCTCATTTGGCACGTCGCCGCTACCACGAGTTTCAGCATGACAACGCCCGTGCCCACACTGCGAGAGCAACAAGAGACTTCCTCAAGCAGAATGGCATCAGAACCATGCAGCGGCCTGCCCTCAGTCCCGATTTAAATCCCATTGAGCAGCTGTGGGGTGAGATTCAAAGACAGCTGAATGACGTCCGACCAAGGCCGACAACTGCAGCTGAACTGCGTTAGGCGTTCCTCCGAGTGTGGGCTCAAGTGCCTATGGCCTTCATCAACCGCCTACAATGTGCAACAACGCGCTGATTGTGCATTTAAATAATATATATATCAATATTCTTGGTCTATTAGATATATACTGTTTGTTTGTTGTTTAACGCCGCACTCAGCAATATTCCATCTATATGACGGCGGTCTGTAAATACTGGAGTCTGGACCAGACAATCCAGTGATGGACATCATGAGCATCGATCCACGCAATTGGGATACGATGACATGCAGCGACCACTCGATCCCGTTACTTGCATCTTGCAATATTTGTACTGAGTTTGGGGGATTGTTTTGGGAAGCGCAGACAAGATGCCGCGTCACGATGGCTGCTTTAGGCTCGTATAAATCTAACACAAATTCAAGGTGAAGACGAAATGTTTTTTAATGAAGGTTAAAATAACATATGGCATTGAATAAACATAATTTCTAACTCTTGCGCCTGCAATACTGAAGAGGGTGGTATAACTGTGATTAGTTCATGTTCAGTAAAGTTTGTTTGTTGTTACGCCGCACTCAGCAATATTCCAGCTATATGACGGCGGTCTAATCGAGTCTGGACCAGACAATCCAGTGATTGACATCATGAGCATCGATCCATGTAATTGGGATACGATAAAGTGCATCAATCAAGTCAGCGAGCCTGACCACCCGATCCCGTTATAATTAGTCGCCTCTCAGCTATTATTATTCTACCCGTCTCAAATTTAGTAAATATATTTGGTTCTTGTCTCTATATCTATTCGTTTTGATGTTGGAATCTCATTTTCTGGTTTCCCCCGCCCTGATATTGCTGGATATTGTTAATGCGGCGTAACAACCAAGTCACTCACTCACTACTCTATAAAGAATATGTTTTATCGCGAAGACATGCTTTTTTACATCCCTGAAACATACTCATTGCAAACGAAAAATTAGTATTAACTCATACATAATACACATGCCGGCTCAAAATAGTCTCCAAACTTTTACTCCGAGCAATTTCCAACACTCAGTTTCTCAGGGAAATAAACTCCATCGTAGGCGAGG